TCACTCAATTAATGTGCAGGGAGGGGTGGCGAAGAGGTGCACTTCGTTCCGATTATGGGGTCGCATTATTTATTTCAGTTCGTTTTCTTTGCCAATTTCCTATTCCCCTCCTAGATTGCCATCAATACAGAGTGCCGAGTGACCGTCCGTCCCACTTTGTGTTTGGCATTGGCCTTTGCCTCGTGCTGGGCATTAATGTTAATAATTTATATGGGAAAAGTGCGGCAATGTGCTAGGAAATGTTAAAATTTATTTGATTACGGCCGACACTGGTCGTCAGTCTCAAACGCTCTTTTTCTACCGTCTATTGATTCCGGAATTGGGATTGATGTTGCGAGTGAGTGATTGTTCCAGAATTAAGATACTTTTTTATGTAGACAACTCTTGAGTTCTACAAGCATGACGAGCCACACATACTTTATTAAACAGAATTTAACATTCCACAATTTGGAAAAATGCGTAACTGAAACTATGTCGAGTGACCTTTTAAGTCGTTTACTTATTCTACTTCGTATTTCCTCACACGACCACAGCTTAAAACTAACTCAACAAATTTCCATTTTACATGGTCTTTTTCGTCGATTCGAATCTTAATGCAGTTTTCTTGTTAGCTGCCTGCATATGAAGTGTTGCCAACCAACGAGCTATATAGATTCTGATGCAGTAAGATGCTATTCGGGCGGGAGTGAGTACCGAAGTAAAAGAATATGGAAAAATCAGGGCAATTAGTCAAATGCATCCGATTGAGCGGGAACCGGCTTTTGATTTATTTGCAGTTTTTTGAATATGCTCACCAATGGGAAAACAATCCTCGGGTCTGCCCATTCTAACTTCCTCAGATTTCAACCAAACCGGTTTCCGGTCAGCTCCTCCGCTGACCAACCCATGCACGTGTATCTAAGCCTTAATCTCGTGGTTCCCGGCACCCGCTGCAACCAACTCCCCCTGCACTCCCAAGGGAAAGGATAACTGCTTACAAAGGGGTAAGCACATTTGGATTTGTATATCGCAGTTCGTCCGCCGCTGACGGTATTTCGGTGAGGTAGAACATTATAATTAGCCATGACCCTTAGTCAGCATTGTTTAATTGGGTTTGCTTTCCTTGTCCCTTACAACAAAAAGATTCGATATTTTTGGATACTTATCATCAGCTCCGAGTAAGTTTAACAGCCTTTTCAATGTGTGCGTATACTTAATGGAAGTGGCAATTGCTCTGTATTCCATAAAGGAACTAGGAACTTAAAAGTATTCATTTAAATTGTTGACATCTTACCAATCTAGTGAACTTATCTTGAAGTATATTTACCAAAAACATTTCAGGCATTGACCAATATTCTTATTTCTCAATAATAAATCGACAATTTTTTATCTTTTATAGGTGGTATCACCTTTAAAGAGCAATCAGCAAACATTTGTTAAACGAATGCCTTTGCAGTTGCTGCTCTATTTAATGCTGCACATCCGGAACCATATGACCGATTATATGTTTTCACTGGGGCAGCAACTTTTGCAGAAATAACGAACAGTTAACCGTTGCTGGTAGGCGGGTAGAATGCATTCGATCGAAAAGTTTTCATTATGTTTCGGAGGACTTACTTGTCTACGAATGGCTACGGATCCTGAGCCCGGTGCAATGGAACACAGGCTATCAACGCTTCAGTTCATTTGATTGCCGACTGTACGGATGTATGTTCATATCCACGACTGACCCCGCCCCACTGGATGTAACTGAGTGTGGGCGTACCATTCAGTCAACTATTTAGCACTTGCACAGTAGGCAAATTGTCCTACGCACAGAGCCATGAAATTGAATTGCCGCGGCTGGAGAAGAGAAGGATAGGGCCAAGTAGGGAATAAAAAATGTTGGGTCGGAATGGTTCATATTTACTAGGCGCAACGTCCCTACATTCCCAATATAATTTTTATGTTATTTATAAAGACATTCAAACCATTTTTATTATATACTGATATTTTCGTAATAATATTTGTTTAATATTTTCTCATTGCTCAATTAGGTAGAAAATATAGAGGAAGATAGAGTGGAGGTGTTAAAGACTTTAACAGTGTTATAATATATATTCTCGATCAGGATCAATCCACGAGTCGATCTAGCTGTGACCGTTTGTGAGTCTATCTGACATATCTGAAACTACAATTGCTAAGAAGTGGTTTTACCCTGTGATAATCAGATATTGTTGTTTTGTATTTTTGATTGCTAGCTAAAATACGATTGCAATTGCAAACAACAAACTCAAATTGATTATCAAATTAATTTATTTAACAGACAAGATGAGCAGATTTGTGGCTTTAGTAAATCAGTTAAAGCGGCAGTTTCCAAATTCGCAATATTTTATACATATTATATATATATATATATTTTATATTTTATATATCAAAGAAAGAAGTTACTATTAACTTAAAGAAAACATTCCTGCAGTTTCAAAGAAAATGATTATATTTAGCGGAACAACTTGAAATCTTTCAAAAAGTCATTCCTACACTGCTAGTGACTTACGATATTCCCAGACAAGGTAGGTTGGCGTTAATAGGATTAACGTGATAAAATATACCGATTGAGTGATATAGGAACGTTAAGGAATCCATTTAAATATGATCACAATAAAAAGCGTTAAGAAATTCAAATTTTTATCGCTTACTCGACCACCAACATTGCAATGGGTTTTGAATTCAGACATTTTAAGCGCATTAAAGCCAAAAATCTTTTCCGGTCCCAACAAAGCTCATTTGTCAGGTTATGAAGTAGTTCGACCCAAAGCGATTCCCCTTCAAACAGGGTTTGAGTGGAAAATTTTATTCTCAGATTCAAATTTTAATTTCCACCACAGTCTGAAAACCGTTTCACAGCATGCTGCAGCAACATTAAGGGGAAAAGTGTTGCAGCATCATGTTTCAGTAACAGTAGGTATGCATTGTTGCTCAACATTTTACTTCCCAGTATTTTAGTCTTTATGGACATGAAATTTCACTATGAAATTATTTATAAGTTAGAGTGAGCGTGGGATCTCTAGAATGTCTATGCCTAACCCTAGCATTCTAGGTCTTGTAGTTACCGAGATCTTAGCGTTTTCTGTTTCCGCATTTTTTTGGGCGCAACAGTGCGTGTGGTCTGATTTGGAGGAAAATAATACACATTGGGGCACGATTAAAAACTAAAGGTTCATTTTTTAAGCGTATTTTTTTAAGTCAAATTAAACTTTCCAATTTGCATCATAGAATCAAAAATTTTATTGGAATCTATAAATTGGCCTTTGCCATTTACGTTTTAAAAATAACGTCAATGAAATGTTGTACGCGGTTCAACTGGTCCAACATACGTAAACTTTTGTCCTTACACCTGTGAGATTATTTAGACTTGGCCAGCAGTTTTGCGTCACTTTTCGACCATTTCTGCCTGCATTCGACGAATTACACGAGTTTTGTTATCCTGAATGGCTTTTATCGTGTTCGTCTTGTCTACATAGACTAAAGATTTCACATAACCACACAAAAATAATCAAGGGGACGTTAAATCGCATGATTCCTGTATGGCATTTGGCTGTTCATCACTTCAAAAGCGACAGCCTTGCTTATTAAGTACACTAAAAACTTCTCACTGTGGCAGATGACGTTTGGATGCCATTACCAACCAGTATACCCCTTGCATGCTAATCCCAACATTCTGTCAATTATAGGTACCGAGATCCCAGAATTTCTACAAAAAGTGAAAGTCGCTGTTGGAACTTGGTGCACGTGACCAGATAATGGTACCACCTTAAGGCAGGATAAACGTGCGCTGCGATTGTGTCTCTCGTAGTTCCTAAGATCTCAGCGTTCATACGGACAGACGGACTTTGCTTAATCCACTTGGATATTGCTCCTGATTAAGAATATATATAGTTTATAGGGTTGGAAACGCTTCTATCTATCAATATACCCTCTTATTCTACGAGTAACGGGAGTATTAAGGTTTTCATAATTAAGGTTCTATCAAAAGGTGGCGCTTGTAATTGTACAATTCGGCATCATAATATGGCGTTCATACGGGCAGACAATCGGACATGGCTAAATCAACTCGACTACTGATAGACTCCAAGAGTTCCACGGAATTTGGGAAATTTTTCTCCATAGAAAGTTAAATTTTTTTAATCGGTACTCTATCATTACGATATCATTTTATCCTTAACCGAAATAGTTTACCAAATATTTAAATAAAGGCCATTGCAAGCATTTGAAGCTTTTTATAAGACTACATTTTAGTGAACATATTGAAAATTAAATTAGTGAATGAATAATCTTTGATTAGTTTCCCTATATCATGCTGGTGCAGCCTTCTGGGGGGAAAGTTCGACATTCTCTCCATTTGCGGTCAAAAATCTGAGCACAACAAATCAACAACAAGAACTGGTTTAATTTGACTGATTATTCTCAACACCCATTCAAGGATATGTGATGCACTCGCAAGCCTTTTCTACTTTGTACACATATAATAGTACTACGTGTCCCGATGTCAGGAGCATTTCAAGCTGTGGCATTTCTACAGACAATAGCTATAAATTGATTCTGTCCATCGGGGCGTGCATTGCATTATATAAAGGCACTGGCCAGAAATCTCCGAATGAATTCAAGAGCAATGCATAACCACAAGATAGGACAGGACAAGTTATCAAATGGAGGGAAGGCAAGGACGGAAAAGGGACTACCTGTCTGTCAAGCATTAACTGCTCCTTCCGGCCACTCCATCCAGCTTCAACACGTTAATTAAAGATGCGTGGCAATATCGGTTACCTAGTTCCACACCGACAAGTGTGCGCTTCAGTTCATTGTGTTTTTAATTAACTGGATGGGGTTTATATATACTCTGAAAATTATACACCTGGCCTTTGCCTCTTGGCAGCTCATTCGCATTTTCGAATAGTTCCAAATAAATTGCCTTGAAGAAAGACTTACCGCACTGAAGAAAGACAGCTTTGGAGGTTACCCTGAAGTTTTAAAATGCATACTTTAGTTTCTAATATTTATTTATTAAAAATACACGCCAAAATATAATAAGATCTAAAAACATTCAATTACTTGCTAATAAGGAATATGGTATAGTTAGGTAGGTACATAAAACACACGATGGTTGCTGGACGAGCTTGTTAACTCGCATGATTTCCTCGACTGAGCAAATATAAAAAGAATTGGGATAAAGAAGTAACTGAGCCTTTAGTGCATAGAAGTACAACGTAGTGTGGCAACTCGTGAGAAGAATGCAAAATAATACTTAGAAACGAATCTAATTTTTGAAGTTTAAAAACAAACAAATTCGAATAAGCAATAAATTCGAAAGATAGAATGCATTTAATCGTAGAATGAGCCTGCGTTCAATATGATATCTAGGGTTGTGCTGTGTGTGGGTGCTGCCTGTAATACTTTCGATCGAATCTGTTTGGACAAGCTCAATCCGCAACAGGAGCAACAATTGAAGGTATCTATCATCTGACATCTGTCATCTGTCTCACGTAATAATCACAGCAGTAATTGGTATTATAACTTTTCCTTTTAGCTTTATCAGTTCTAAGTAGCTACTTTTTCTATACAAAAATAAGTTAGTCTTTCTGAATAGTTCGATATCTTTACATTTTCCTTGTGAAATATTGAAGTTGTGTGAAAAACCTGGTTGTTGGCCAACTAGTACGAACTCTTTGCTAGGGAAGGGCACTGAGAGACGGGGAGCACAGGGAATTTAATGTTTAAGGCCACTTAAGTACGGTGTTGATTCGATTTAAGTGAAGGTTGTTGATATTTGACCCTTGTTTAACCATCCGCTCTCATTTAGCTAAATAGGCCGCCTTTAGCTTTTGATACTCGAGAATTCGAGCAATACCGTATTCCTAAAAAATAAATATAATGTGGAATATTGATTTCGATTAACTAAAGAGCTCTTTGAGGTCAACTCACCCAATAACCAAACTCAATGGCCGACGTGACATTAATCACGGACCACAGACTCCAGAAGAGATGAGAAAGCATTGTGAAGAACTGGATTTCGGCATCCACCTTGTCCAGCTCCTGGCCAGTGGGATTATAGTTCTCGTCTTCGTGATACTTCTTTAGATAGTTCACAATGAAGTCGCGCCGCTGCTGCACGGTCGCACAGTTGTCGGAGTTGTGGTAGAAGTAAGGGAACTGCGGATTGGTGTAGTCGAACGTCCACTCGATGAAGTGGTTGGCCAGATCATAACCGCGGTAGTTATACGCGCAGTACTCAAAATCAATGATGATGAGATCCGGCTCATTATCGGTAGTGAAGCTGGCATCCAGCGCCGAGTCATTAGTGGTGTCCAACTCCGGGCAGGGCGACGGCGATACGCTGCTCGATTTGCTAATGTAATACAAGGAGTTAATGGATTTAGTTAGCATATGGCATATATGGCTTTAAGCGAATGTCATGAATAACCTGTATTTTGTTTTGCTTTGGCCAACAATTATATTGCTTTTGACCAGCACTTCTTAAACTCAAATCTCGACCGCAGCAAATTGGGGCCATCTAGAATTGTAGGTAGTTTTAAATGGGTCTGGCGAGCAGAGGCTTACGACTAATGGGCCAATGGCAAGAAGTTACTGGTTAGCAGGCCACAACAAAACAACGGGTTAGCGATTAACAGTTTCTCGAATGATCGAGATGTGCTTACTTGATCTCCGGTTCCGAAATGTTGCTATTGCCATCAAGGCTGTCGCCCAAAGTTTCGTCGAAGTTTGACCTGTGAAATATGTAAAACATTTCTTTATGATTTATCTTATATTATTTATCTTTAATAGGATCACTAAGAACATTCAATATTTCTGTTCGTGATTGCACTTTACCCACCTCAGACTACTAATCGACTCCCGCGGCGTGCGTTCGGTCGGACCAGTTAGCGCCTGTCGCAGCAAAATGTTGCCCTCCTGCAGATCGTTGTGGCAAAACACAACTGGATAATCTCCGTCGTCAATGACCGATCTTATCCAGGCGACCTCTTGCACATAGTCGAAGGTGCGCATCAGTTCCATTTGCTTCTCCAGCACAGACGACTTCGGTTTCGATTGCACATTTCCCTTCACAATGTTCTCGAACCCGGAAACCCACCGCTCCATGCAGTTCCATATCCAGTCCGGCTCCTTGGACATGGGTATGTTGAGACTGTGGATCTCACCCATTTTCTCAGCCACTTTCATTAATATGCGCTGCTCTCCTAATTCTGCTGTAGTCAACGCACGGGCCTATTTGTGATGTGAAAATTCAAAATTACTAATTATTTGCTTCTTTGGGTAATGGTGTATGTTAACTAAGAAGTTAAAGCAATGAAATTAACATTACATATAATATATAAATTTCTTATTTTTAAATTCGAAGGTTTCTAACTATTTCTCTAAAAAGTAAAAACAAATTCAAAAATTGTTTTAAAGACATTTTTGCCTTCGACTTATCATTTTTGTTGGATTAATTAATATACCATAGATAGCAATAGAAAAAGCATCATAGTTGAGTTAGTCCACGATTATAGCCTCGACTTACCGGAATATATTGTTCGATGCGTCCGCCGGGAAAGATGCCGTGCAGCTTGGGTCCGAAGTTCCTCTCACTGAGTAGAGCGAAGACCACCGACTCGGTGATCATGCTCTCCAGCGCGTGATCGCCGTGTGTCTGTCCATAGATGCGCAGCAGGACCTGCGGATGTAGATAATGGTCACAGGATGGTTAGGTTATAGGGAGGCAGCAAGGTGCCGATGTGGATGACCTACCTCACGGGGTTCCTGTTTGGGGGCGTGCAATCGCTTCAACGAACTCGAGTCGCGGCTATCGCTATCGAACCGCTGACGCTTGTTCGCCTGTTTTGCGCTAGTCGCTGCGTCGTCATCGTCGTCGTCGTCGTTATTCGGCAATTCCGTGGCCACCGATGTCACGCCCACCGCCTTGGTTGACTTCTCATCGTCGCGTGCGAAAACGTGGCTGTTATTGGACAAGGCTGCGGCGGCAATGACGCCTTTGCCTACGTTGCCATTTGCAATCTGGTGTTGTTGCTCCTCCAGCTCATCGAAGTCGTCCAAGTCGGGAAGACTTACGTAATACAAGAAGTTTGACAGACCTCCACTGCAAACAAAGATGTATGGTAAATACTTGGGTAAGCTTTTATGTCCAATGATACCTTTCAGTATGAATTCAAAAAAACAATATCTCAATATTTCAAATTTTAACACAAATTACTTGAAAATATTTCTAGAAAATTCTAGAATGCAACTGAGTGGAAAGAGATTGAAAATAACATCTAGTACCAAGGACTTACCTTATGCGCTTCACCACCAAATTTTCCGGAGTAACCACTTTCCAGCGCCCAGTTAGATAGTCCCGGCAAATGCGTGCGGCCGCATGGCGAATTTCCTCAAGGGTTGCCTGCGGGTGAACGAGAGGGTGGTGGGTGGATTTTATAAATAATGCCGGAGAGAAAAGCAGGAAAGAGAGGAGAGAAAACTTAAGGCAAACTATCAAATCGACAAAACAATTGGCCCTGGTGCTGGTGGTGAACTAAAAATACAAAAAACATTGTGGGTACGAAAATGCAAATGCAATTAGAGGTGCAGACAAGCCGAAGAAAAACATATTGATTAAATACCCAAAAGGAAATGGAAAGAAATCCAGCAGAAATTAAGTGTGATTACATAAACTGAAAGGATTTTTCTCTCTTAACTAGATTTATATCCAGCATACAGTCTAAAGCTAAGAAATCTGACTTGTTCTGATCAAGAGAAAATAGACACTCGGAAAATAGCTTACATTGCGCTTAAAATGCTGCCAGATATTTTCATAGTTGCAGCGTTTACTCAAACAACAGTTTTGATTTAAATTATCCTGCTGCTGGCGACGTTTCAGGGCTTTGTTGTTCCTAAGAATTCGTTGTCTCATGCTACGCGTAGTGTATGCAAAGAACTAAGTACTAAATAGTAATAATCGAATTATATAAATGTGAAATCGGGCAGCAAAGGCACACAGGAAAGTCTCTCGGTTAGATTCAGCACTAAGCGATAAGTAGTTCTCAGCTGGGAGTACAAAAACAAACTGACTCATCGCTAGACCAAGACCAAGGCCCTGGGGTAGCCGAAATAGAACTACGCTCCGCGCGGCTCTCGCTCTCTCGGCGGCTGCGGTGGTTCCTACACCACCGCACCACCATCACCAACTAAGGGCGCCACCCCCACGACCGACCGACCGGTTGCCAAGGTAAACATATGTTCACCTCGTAGGCGGCTAGGTAGAAATGGGAAAAAAATTTCCTCGCTGGGACTTTCAACAGATGTTCGTCCGCTAAGAATGATGGTTATATCAGGTAAAAATAGGGGGAAACGCGTCCGATTTAAACGCAATAATTGCCTGTAATTCTCTTACAGTATGGTGTTATTGCAATTCAACAGATAAGATTATATTTAACATCACACCTGTTTGTAATCTACAGCTCTGAAAACACGTATGATTAAGCCAACAACTACGATTTATCCGAACAAGTCAGAGTAATATAAATTAAATTCATTTTTTGTGTACTGACTTCAATTTAACAGACAGTTTTTGTTTGTAATTAGGTATAATAGTTTATAATGGCAATAAACCGCCAATTTACTTTTTTATATATTGGGAAAAACAGTTCCTAACGAACTGGATCCTCTTGATATGATCCAAACTTTGACGGGAGCAGCGAACGATCTCGGCTAATCCATGGAATTTTCCACGCAACTATCGTAAAACGCATGAAAATCTTCCATTCAACACTTATGTAGATGGCAACGCACAACCAACTTGCACTCTTATCATGTTAATATTCCCCATGCTGTTGCTTTGATTTTCTCGCTCGAAAAGTGAAAACAAATAAATACCCCAACAAGTACAAAAGCCATGGCTCTGTGTGAACTGAAATGTAAGGAAGGCAATAAAAACTGTCATAATAATAATGGGTTAAACTAATTGCTGGTCTATGGGCATGGCTATGGGGTATAAATGATAATTGACGAATGAGAAGTCGAGAATTCGCCGGCCAAAACTAGCACGCGCTATTGTAAATAAATTTGATTAGGCTGTTCCGGAGCCTTATCGTCGGAAAAAAAAGTTGCGTACTTATCGCCAAACTACCAAATAAAGATAACTATATTCTGAAAGTCACTCAATCTAAAGCTATAAAAATTGTGCGTTAAGTGTGTAACTTAAAGATTTATAGAAGTTGATTTTTAATTGATAAGCAAAATCACCAAAACGCGCGATGGGGCTTAAAAACGTCACATACGGCTCTCCTGGAAACAAGTTTGTTTTCTGAAAACCTTTTGATTAATCCAAACGACTATTCCTATTATTATGATAGCAAGGAAACGTCTTTATGCATGTAATTTAGCTTGATTATAAATCAACATATTTCGATCTGATAGTCAAAAATAACAAACGTAATTAGGAATAACACGTGATTTCATTTTTGATTTATGGGGACTTGCTATCCCTAGGAATCTTATCTATTGCCATCAAGATAATTCATTAATCGGTTAGTGGTGCTTAATAGTAATAATGAGCAAATAGTCCCACATAATGAGTACCTAATCGGTACATCGGAATTGGGGCTTAGTTTTGGGAAACGTGCAGGCTGTGTATCAAGTCATTATAGAACGGAATCCCGATTTGTTCCGATTTGAAAAATCTTTGGAAAACCGATAGATATTAACAGAAATATGTTACACAAGGTAAAACGAAGGCATTCATAATATTATTATAGACGCCACAATCTTCCGCGGTTTGTGGGCGTTAGAGTGGGCGTGGCCGTATTCTTAAGCCTAACTTTCTAGCTCCTTTAGTTCTCGAGATTTTTGCATTTTTGGTTTTTCGGGTTTTGTGGGCGTTAGGATGGGCGTGGCTAGATGAAAAAAAACACACATTTGGGGCATCATAAAAATCTACATGCTTAATCCGAACATTCTATTACTTATAGTTACCGAGATATCAGGTTTTCTTGAACACGAGAAAACCGTCTTTTGAGCTTGGTGGGCGTATAGGTGGGTGTGGCCAGATAATAGTACCACTAAAAGATGCACTGGCATCCAAAGTTTATACATACTGAATTTCAACTTTCTAGCTCTAAAAGTTCCCGAGATTTGAGCGAATTTGGTTTTTTTTTGTGGGCGTTAGAGTGGGCGTGGCAGGACCTCAAGAATCTTCATGCTTAATCTCAACTTTGTATCTGCTATAGTTCCTGAGATCTCAGCGTTCATACGGACGGACGGACGGACGGACAGACGGACATGGCTGAATCGACTTCGCTATTGATCCTGGTCAATAATATATATACTTTATAGGGTCGGAAACGCTTCCTTCTATCTGTTACATCTATCTATTGAACGAATCTAGTATACCATTTTACTCTACGAGTAACGGGTATAAATATGCATCAAATCTCGACTCACTGATTAAACGTTGAGGGTTGTAATGGGATTCTTAACCCCATACATCTAGAATCTTTATAAAGCTTGGGAATAACCGTCTAACGATATATGTATAAAAAACGTCAATGTGGAATATAATTTGTAAATGGGACGACTCAATAAAGCGCTTCTATATAACTGCGATTGAGATGCTAACTGCGCAATGACTAACAAAAACGTGACTATCTAACCACAACAATGTTGTCAAATCAATTCGATCGTAAAATCTATTCTGGCCATAACTCATTTTGGAAGACCGTGTGAGCGCCGCACGCAACACAAAACAGTCTAGTGCCCAGCCTAGCAGATACCCTTTATAATCTAAATATACTTTTCTGACATTCTAATAATATGCATTCGAACTAATATGCTCTTGCACCATGCGCTCCTTCTGTTGGCATTTTTCTGGACAAATACACCATACACCATGTTTTTCGGAGTGAAGCATTTTGTCTGTCAACGATAATAAGAAAATATCCGCAGCCAATGTCTAAAAATGACGTATTCAAATCTGTTTGATTAATACCAACTCTCTTTGTCGTATAGCTCCGGCGATCTCTGGCAGTCTGGCTAGAAGAACGCAACTAGTATGAATCATATTGTTTAACGAATACAATATGCCCATCAACCTACAAGTATAGGGAATAATGAGACGTACGAAATTGCTGAAATGACTTTACGCCAAATTACTGATAATTGCGAATAAAGGAGGACGGCAACGCCAATGAACGAAGAAGTGATCCACGAGGTGGCGATAAGAAATCTTTCTGTGCGATTGCGAGTCAGCCAGGAATCGCAAACACTGTAAACGGAATGCGAGACCAGTCCAAGATAAGATGGGTTCTTTGATCGAGACTCAGAGCACTCAGAGACAAAATTCTCGCATAGGCTTTTATTTGATGATAACAAGATAACAAGTCAATGAACCATAAAAGAGTAATCTTGCAACAAATCATGCAAACCACTATGATGGTCAACAGTCCAGTTGGAAAACATACTGAGTAAATACATTCAGACATACATATCTACATAGTATGATTTTGATAATAGGCAACAACAAGGTTATTGGGGCATTCCTTTTAGTGAAGACCCTTTCCCTGATTTTATTGTCAGTAATGGGTATGTAACCAAAACTCCAGCAAACAGCTACGATCTGAATACGCGAAAGCTTCCCTCGAATGACGAAAGGTGTGGGAAAAACATTGGCAAAACCAGACAGTCGCAAAACGCTTGGGAGAAAAGGTTAGGCGCTGCCTAACACTTTTGAGGTTTCTTACCTTTTGCAGGTTGGTGGACATCGTCCTCGATTCAACAATGCTATATGGTATTTCCGGAGCGCGGGCACTCACAAACACACAGCGGCAGACGCCAACAATATGGAGCAATACGACACGAGGTTAAAAGCACTTGAGCGAACTGCTATTGGCCGCCGACGTCACTTGGTATTAAATATAGTTGCAACAACAAAGGCCAAGTTGTATTATTAAGTACATGCGCGAATCCAGTCACAGTTAGCGGTTTCAACACGACCTCTCCCGAGAACGCTTCAGTTTCGACTTAACACACGCCACCTTCGATCGGCGGCGCCAAGGGAAAAAGCTTATTTTCTGTGGGAGCAGTGGCAGCGAGAGCGAGAGAGTCAATTCCTACTCTCCTGCTCTTTTCGCAATTCTGCTATCTTATCAGTGGTTTTCGCATTACAAAAAATACTAAAATGCGAAGACGAAATTAAATTTAGAATTTGAGAACTTATTCAAATGAAGTGCCAAATGAATGTAAACTTAAAAAACAAAACTTAAAAAAACTAAAAAACTCTTTTGATTGTTTTCATAAATTCATTTTGATTCATTCAAATATCAAAATGAACTGCCTAATGAAAGATAAAAGAGATCTACTAACTTAAAAACAATTTTAATCTACTCTCTGAAGACAAATAGAAACCAGTTTTCTGTTTCGTTTACAGTTGTTTGTATCTGCCTAGGTCACAGCCTTTTAATTGCGTTTTAAAAATATGTTTACAAAAGCTTTTATGATGTTTCACAAGAAATTTCGTGACGACCGGCACGAAGGCCCTGCGGCAAGTATTTTTGGTACCCATTTCTTGTCAGAACACTTCATTTTAAAATATTTAATTTAGTGGTTTTATTATATTAATACAAATCGAAATATTACATCTCAAAAGATGACAACAAAGCAAGACGGTCTAAAGTTTAAACATTCGAAATTAACCGCCGAATACGAAACCAGAAGTGGCATCCCCCAGACCTGTCGTTGCCACCCTAGCGCTAGTCGCCAATGCTGCCATTTTAAATAATAAAGTCAACAAGTCTTGCCGGATCATGTGCTTAGCATTTAAATGAACACCGACAGTTGAAATGGTGATGAGCTTACGGTTTAAATAATTTTTATAACCCGATTATCATAAGGACTTATTAATAAGGAAATAGAGCATTAGTTTACCTATCACTTCCAAAGAAAATCTATATTTATTCCATTTTTAAAACGAAAAAGCACTGGTGATAAAAATCGAATATTTTATTGATCCCATTTACGTACCATACTTAAATTCAAGCAACTGACTATAATGAGAGAAAAGCGTTCTAGCCGTGATTCATGCAAGAGAAATTTAAAAGCTCGAGCTATACGAGCTTTTTTTCTCTAATTTCCTAGAGAATAAATGATTCACGTTCCAGATCATATGTACTCAAAAATGAACATATGCATTAATTGGTAGAAGCGTACCCGAAGTGGTTTTCTAGATGATTCCAGGCGAACTAGAGTTCCCACCACGATTTTCCACCCTCTTCTCACATACAGAAAGTACAGTCCGCGGTCCTTTTTGCCGAACACTTAACCTTAAACCAAGATACAAGCAGTTAGCTTTATATTTTGTTTTTTTTGTTTTGTCAGTTTTTCTTCTATTTATTTTTGAGTATTATCGAATTTTCTTGTTGTTGGTGAACTCTGAATACCGGTTTACTGGGTTATTACTGAACTGGGCGCTTTAACTTATTATTATTCCCACATGCTTGTGGGAATAGGCTTACTAACTTACAAGTTAGTTAGGTTCTCTTTAGTAAAACCCCTACGCATTAAGAGCGGTAAAACAATTAATCTAAAGTAACGGAGCGGAAAATTGTGAGTAAAACAGTTAGAAATCTTGATAATGAACAAATTTGAATGTTGCGAATACATTTCAAGCAAAGGTACTTAACATGTCGCCGCCCGTCTATAAAAGAACTGGATATTTACTTTTGAGTACTATATAAAAATGTAATTTCTGTTTCCGTTTTTTTGTTTTTATTTTTATTGTTTCTATATGGTATGATCTGTTTCTTCTTTTTTCGCCATTTGGCAGAAACTTTTCTGGGGATTTGTTGGCAGCTTGATGTTACATTTTGCTGATTTTATAGTTTGTTGTTTGTTTCATATAAATATTCATACACAATATAGGATAGGATTGTTAAATTAAAAGTGACAAAAGTTATTTTGCCGTTCAATTTCTTATTTAGAGATTTTGTTTGCAATTTTTTTCATTCGCTTCGTATTTATTATTACAATTATTAAATTTGACGCTTTTTGTTTACAACTTTTAATCTTAAAACATAGAGGGTCTCGCTTCTTAATTTCGCTTATTTTTTCTCATAATCTTTCGCTTTATATATATATACTTTGCTTTAAAGTTAAGTTTTAAGTAAGGTTTTAAATGATAATGGATTTTTGTTGTTTCTCGTTTGTTGTTGGTTGGTTGGTTGGTTGGTTGTTAGTAAAGACAGAGACGCTATAAGACTACGCTCCCATTGCAGGATTGTTATTGGAGAATTGCGCCAGCCCGCCCACGCAGTCATCCACACATCACCCGCTCACACTTGCGGACGTTGGGTGATTCGGTGCGTTTCGCTGGCGGTAGAACCATAATTTGTGTGATTTGCGTTTGTTTGTTGTTGTTAGTAAGTATTTTATAAGTAGATTTCTGAGTGTGCTGCACTGCGGGTGATTCCTTTAGGCAGCCACTTCGCTAGCCTCGGCCCCGTTCTGCACCTCATCCTTTGTGCTGGCCTCGTCCAGCTTCGCCTTCTTCTCCGGCGTGGCAACGGCCTCGTCGGCCTTGGCAGCGGCCTCATCTACCTTCCGTTTAACAGCCTCGACGGCGGGAGCATCTGCGACGCGATAACGAAATAGAAAAGTTAGCACCTTTTAAATGAGGAAGTCAGTAGTACACACACCTGTTGAGTCGCCGTTGGCTGCCTCTTCGGCGCCGTTCTCAGCAGCAGCTGGAGCTGCTTCACTGCTCTCCTTCTTGGCCACCTCGACGTCAGCGGACTCCTTCTTTTCCTCGTCCTTCTTCTCATCCTTCTCATCATCGGCGGAAGGAGCAGCTGCCTCGGTCGCCTTTTCGCTATCGACGACGTCAGCCTCGGCGGGTGTCGCACTGTCGGCGGCCGCTGCTCCGTTCTCCTTGGCGGCGCTCTCCTCTTCGGCGGCACCGTTCTCTGTGGTGGTTGGCTTCTCAGCTGCTGCCTCCTCGGCGACAACAGCATCCTTCTTCACAGCATCGACTTCCTCAGCTGCGACCTTCTCGACAACAGGGGTCTCGCTGTTGATGAGAGGTAAATAGGTAAAGATGGTATTTATTATTGCTATTTTGCTCAAATAACTGGATAATTTTTATTTCATTAGGTTATTACTCAAATACGATTAATTTACTTATGCAAATATCTCAAAAAGCATTATATTCTGTGTTAACAGTTATTTCGTATAAAAATGCACATGTCTTCAAGACATTAGTCATTACCGGAATTACATTTGGTTCAGACAATCGTATTTGTATTTTCAACATTAGTGCAATTGGAAATTTTTCCATTGTAGCGCCGGCAAAACGGTTTTGATGCCTGCTTCCTATCTTTCTTTCTTTTTTTTTTTCCTCCCCCTTTCTCTTTACATATGTACATCTCTTTGCCAAAACCCAGGACAAGCAAGCCCAGCAACAACAATACAATGCAATAATGTACCATCTGCCGGCGTCGCTGCCGTAAGATGATAAATGGGAGCAACAACTCGTGCAAACTGCGACGCAAAAAGGAACCAGAAAAGGTGAGCGGCATTTGCCAGCATGCTCTTTTTCATATAAATGGCATAAGTTTATGTGTGTGTTATTCCTTTGCCTTCTACACACGACGAAAAGTGGGTAGCATAAGAGATGTTTGCAGACTTTGCAAAAAGTAAAAAGCCAGACTTGTTTGAAATAAAACGAAAGCAAAGAGAAAAAACTGGTTTATATGCGGCTCGAGTCACTATAGTCATCCTACTCGCACACACCGATGAGCGTATTATTTGCGCGCGCGTCACGTAGCCATAAGATAGAGAGAGGGAGTATGATAATAGAAAAGATGCAGTGTGCAGTGAAACAGACAAAAATAACGGTCAGGACGCACACACAGGCAACATGTATAAAAACACCCACTTTGTGTTCCTATCCCCCTCCCCCAACCAAAGAAAACCGGCACAACCTAAGACAACAGACAAAAGATTTAAATCCCACCCCCCCTTTTTTTTTTTTTTTTTTTCCATTTGCACTCCTTGTGCGACCGTCCTAAAATGCTTAAAAGCCTCATGCTCATGAAGCCGGCAACAGTGTAGATTATTTTTGGCTATGACAAAATAACTTGAATGAATAAGAAATTGGTGGTAGTTAATGCCAAGCTTTAAGCTTAAAGAGAGAAAAAAACGTGTGAAAGATACCAACGAAAATTAATGGGTTGGCGAGGAAAGAAGCAAATGCCAAAGCAAACAAAGCAAAAAAAAAAAAAGCAGCTGAAACTAAACAGCACAAGAAAAAGAGCGGCAACTTGAATGCTGCACACATACAAATTCATATTTGCGCACTTCGCTTGGCGCACGAACACTCACAAACAGCTACTCCGCTACCACCACCGCACATACACAAGTCAATTCTCGTTGTCGTTGGTTTGCCGGCCGGAGAGTGAGCAAGAAAGCACTATGACGCCGCGCCAAATTCAACGGCGTCGTTTTTTGCGCGCACACTTAGAGCCCATTGGCAAAAGCGAGACAACAACATAGATTCCACAAAGCGGTTTGCGTATATAGACACAGAATTTAAAAGAAAATTTTTCCAAACCGTTGCGGCGAACATCGAAAAAGATGTACACTCGCGAAATTCGATTCAAGTCAATTCCATCCAATTGTTTAAACAAAAATGCACGGGCACATATACAAGGCAAATAAAGTACTCACTTCTTTTGCTCAGCCACATCAGCCATTTTGAATTACTGTTGGTTTTAAGTTTTCGAAAGCGAAGCGCGAAAACACGTTAAAATAGCGGGCTTTGGTATGCGCCAAACACGACTCGAAGACCAACACGTAGGTTTAAACAAACTTGAAAACTTTATTAATTTGTGCAAACTGCAGTTTCCTCTTTAGTAGCTTTGCTAAGAAAGTCGCTGGATGCTGGTATTTAGCCGTACAAGAGAACGTCCTCACAGTAACGAAGAAAAACGCCGAATGAGAGAGCGAAGAGCGTCGACCCGGCTTTTAAAGCGGCCTGCTCTAGTGTTGGTAGGCGTCGGTCCTCTGCCTCCGATGATTCTGCCTGCAGATTGGCAATTTTCCCTTGAATTCCGGGCACAAGGGCATTGCATTGATTGATTTGCTTGAACATTATGTTATTTTCAATTTGTTTTAATTTCTCATATCACAACGCTCTCTTGGCGCTTTTTATGAAAAGCTAACGGGCGAATGGGACAGAAGAGCTTTGTAAGCTTGCAGCGCACGTTTGGGCGTTAGCCAACACCAAATAAGAATTAGAGGTGGAACTTATTCATGTGTCACAGTTATTTTTAAATATTGAATTCTATTTTCACTCATAAAACCGGTTTTATTTTGGATTAAATTTGTTAAATATTGTTAAATCTTCTTTAACCAATATTATTTTATATATATATTTATAAAATGGAAAATGAAACTTACTTTTAAATAAGAGTTCATGTCTACAAAAGGGTTGTCAGCTTTCAAGTTTTTTATAGCTTATATGGCTTAAAACTTTCCCTTAAATTTGTGTAAGTACATGTGTACCTGAGCGTTGAAAATAGTTTTCAGGTAAAAACCCCTACAGATCGCAATGGATTAGGCATTCTCACATGCTATTACATATATCCGCTCCGGGATTAGTTTGCTCAAGAAAGAAAATGGGGGATTACAGACAGATGCTGATGTGGCAGGATCGGATGCCTAAAGATGTCCTGTTAAATAACCAGCTGCACTATCTGCCAAACATTTACATACCAGTCCCAAAAAAAATAACTAAATAAAATATACAGATTTCCGTTACTATTACTCAGTCGATAATCGATCAACAACTTTTGTTAGTCACAGACGGAATTAACAATTTTCTATCTCGCTCAATTTTTCCAGGTAGCCAGGTAAGTACCCATTGGCCTTGCCCGCTTTTTGGATCGGTTAAATACGAAAATAAATTGAACTGCACCAGGCAGCTGCTGGGAAAATTTTCTCGCTGTGAATTTGGTGCACATGTCTTTTTTCGGCTCTCGTCACGAGAGAAGCAGCTGTTCTCCTAAAACTGAAATTTTTATACTGCACTTACACTACTGGACAGAAAAATAGAAGCGAAATTTTATTTTGTGGAAAGCGGTCAGCTATATCATTTATTTCTGACCTCGATTACTTAGTTTTAGAACTATGTACATTTATTAAATTAAATATACATGCTTATGTATGGTGTTTATTTTTTAAAGTGTAGATATAAACTAAATGAAATAGGATGTTATTTTGATTACCCCTAAAACAAGAAGAACTGCAATTCCATCAGGACATATACAAATAATATAAATAAATAAATCAAAGGAAATAATTACACCTAACTTAAAAATATATAATGTGCATTAGGTAATTAATTGCTAGTAAAGATATAAGCTATATAGCGTTCAATCAATGAAGAAAGTTAGTTATGCAGTTGTTTGCTCTTAAACTTAGTTTTTTATGTTTATTTAATGTTAATATTATAAAAAATACGGATAAGTTATAACAAATTTAAGAATAAGTGAAATAAATACCTCTCTAACTACTACTACTAAATAGCTGTTTAGGACAAAACACTTTACTGTAAGAATGCAACGACTATAAAAAGGAACTATAAATGGAGTTAATTTGTCCGAAAAATGATTTAATTTTCATTACAGAAATCTGACGATATGTAGAGAAACTTTGTTTTTATTTTATTAACACTCCGTTCATTTATGTAAGTACATAATTTATGTTGAACATCACCCCCATCTTGAGACACCGAAATCTCTTTCGCTTTATTGTGCATTTCCTTTGCATCTGCACTCGACGCACACACACACGTTCTCTCAGCCCGCAGCTGCACCTTTTTCAATGCCATTCAAGGCCAGCTGCAGCCTAGCGGTCTTCTTCCTCCTCCTCCGCAGCCGCTGTTCGATTAGCGTTTAGCGCGCAGAGGCATTAATTCTGCTCACTATCTAATTAACTTTATGCGTTTGTGGTAATAGCATGTCATTGTGCCATTGTGCAAGGGACAGATGCAGGGCGCCTTATCAAGCTGGCTCAGCTGTACCGTTATCAGTGGCATGCCCCGTTCGCAGACATGCGCTGAAAAGAGCTTTCAGCAAAAAAAGCTCATACGCGCTCTTCCTCTGAGCGGGAGAACGGGAAATAACGGAAGTCCTTGCTGCTGGGGCTTGTTGACTGTCGAAAATTTTCACTCGACAATCAGTCAAGTTTATCGGGCGCCTTAGTTTAGTTGAAAGAAATCGCGCGGCGCCAAGCTTAGAAAGTCGCAAGCCAGGTGAAATACAACTAACCAGAAGAAAAAACTAAACACAACGAAAAAAGGAAATAACCAGATTTTTGGAGAAAGTATACAATAATAGGGCGAGAATTGCGAACGAAGGTGTGAAATGTGGTGAAAAATAAAGTGTACATTCCCTAACCGTTATGGCAGCTTCCTCCAAAAAAATAGAGGACTTAGGGAAGGGCTTTTTAGGCTGCGGGTGTAACTTATTTGGATTAAAATTAAAATCGAAGCCCGTCTGCAGTGTAATAAGAAGGGTGTACACACACCCCTCTGCTCGCAGCTATACAAACAAAATCAGAACGCATTATAACGAACCTTGAGCAAATCAACCTTACCCACACAAGCACAAACAAACACATGTACGCGCATACCTAGACGTGAAAAGGATTTTCTATAAGGAAAAAAAAAGGAGCTGTTGTTACACGGTCCGTCAGTCGAAATATTCGGCAATGGGGAAAGGAAACGGCACTCAAAAAAAGAGGAAGCAGTGAATGAGAGAGGGAGAGAGAGAGACAGAGAGCCGGAGAGATTCTCCTATTACAGTTACCGTGGTTTGTGCGGGTGTCGAATGCGGTAGAAAAATGGATAATTTATTCATATTTGGGGCAAGAGGTTTGAGTAGGAGCCGTCCCGCTTTAATTTTGACAAGTCAATTTCAATTTTCCCCCAAAATAGAAAACTCAATTTTCTCTAATTAACGTTCAACGGAAATTGACTCTGGATTCGAGTAGCGGAAGAGGAGCATTTTGCAAGCAGGATATTGGCGTTTTGGGGAGGAGGAGAAATGTGGCTCACATAATTTTCACGACGTCTTTAAATATTTTACCAGCTTTGTTGTCTAAAGTGCGCTAAGCATATTCGCAGGGAAGGTGTCTAAAATTAGTTAGCTAAAGAAGAATGTCAAGAGATAAGAATTTGGCATGTCAAAGACAATTGTTATCATACTTTATTATAGAGCTTGACCAGTAAATAAAATGCTCTTGTCCACCTTATCACCAAGTAATATTTATAAATTTTTTAAAAATATTTAATCAATGCAATTCTAATTGCAAACCACTGTGCGATACCCCACACAGACAGATACACACCGACTTACGTGCATACGGGCATACTCACCGCTCTCACACAAGGACGCTTCCGCCTTGCCTCTCGCATACACACATACAAACATTAACTTCCTTTGGAATGGGGCGAAGGGAGGCGCCATGAAGCAGCGCTAAGACTCAAATTTACCGTTAACGCGAGTTTGTATTTTCACTTGCTTCCGATTGTGCTCCTTGTGTTTGAGTTTGTGCTTCGCTGTGCTTCTATTTACCCAAGCGTCGTCTCCCAGTTTCCAGGACCTCCAAACATCATAAATAAATAAGCCAAGGAAATGGTTTCGCTTCATTCATAAGCCAGAAAGCCTGGAGACGGCCGCCGATCAACGAATAATTAAACGGAATCCCGAGGACCCAAAGGAGCGGAAGGTATAGAAGTGTAATATCACCATGCCTGAGGAGAAGGAGGGCAATTTGGAGAATGGTCAGGCGACGGCTGCCTCGACGCCTAGCAAATCGAAGCCGCAGCGTCAGAAGACAACATCCCGCCGCCGTCAAAACGACAGCGATGTGGCCGGTGGGGTTGGAATTACCGGCGGCGGAGTCGTCATCTTGCCGCAGCACGTGCTTAACGAACTCTACCACAACTACTCTATCAAGCAGCGACGCAGCGGCTTAAAGTGGTTCCTCTTCGCTGCCGTGCTGTTTAATATCTGGACCATCGGAATACCCTGGGATCAGGCGGTGCCCACAAGAGGTAAGTACAAAGTGGACACATTTTTCCTATACGTAGTGGATACACGTTTAACCCTATACTACGGTTTATCCAAAAGAGCGCCTCCTACTATGTATAAATAAAGCTACAATTCACACAAAACATTGAAATATGGATGTTGTTTGAATGTATACAAAAGAAATCGAAATTGCTTATCTATAAAATAATATTGTTTAATAATATTGTATTTACTTCTGCATTACATTTGTGTATAATTGTATATATAATTGTGTATATTTGAGAGCTAGACTTGAAGTGTGTAAAGATTAAAGATTAAAGAGTTCTCATTGAAAATTATTTGAATAACTTTAATTATTTTTATGAACGGCATTCTAGTGGTCAACTGCTGTATGCTAGTGGCGTACTTGGCCCTAACAGCTCTACTCCACATTGGTAGACGTTCCGAGCAACCGGCGTTGAGGCGGTTCCACCAAATACTCCTGACGATTGTTCCACGAGCACTGTGGCTACTAAGTATTCTACACTTTGCCGCCTACGTAATCCTACAACCCAGCTTCTCCCCAAGGTTAGTTTTTATTTTTATAATTTTACTACTCTTGAAAAACTTTCCTTGTTATTCTATAGGTATTATCGAATAACAAAACGGATCTTTCTTTATTGAATACAAGGCGGCAGATTTTAATTGATATGTTCTCTTTTCCGCTATTATCTTAGGGACGTTCTAGGATGGGCCATATTGCTTAACTTCCTTGTCTATGTGACGTTGCCGTTGCCATTAATTTTCCTTGGTCTGTCCATAGGATGTGTCACGTATTTTATTTGTCTTAGCCTGCCAGTGGGTTACTCTCGCTGGGACTCCCTGCTCTCAAATCAGTTGGCGGCCAATGCGGTTTTAATAGCTACTGCCGCGCTGATAGGGCTCCTGTACTACTTCATGGGCGAGGCTAAGCAGAAACGAGCATTCTTGGAGGCCAAAAAGAGCCTCGAGGTGAAAATGGTTATCGAGGAACAGTCAGCTGAGCAGGTAAGCTTTGCTCATACGAGTTAAGGCCCACTTGGGATATATGTTTGCAATCATTTTTATCAACACTAGGAGCGTTTGCTGTTGTCCGTGCTACCCAAGCACGTGGCTATTAAGATGCGGGAGGATTTGGGATCATCTAGTTCGGAGGCTTTCAAAAAAATCTACATGAGTCGACACGAGAATGTGAGGTAAGCTTTTAAATTCAGACCTGTAACCTTTTCCTGGACTCATTATAAATTTGGCCTGAACAGTTTTACGCCTTCTGAAATGTATTTTCAAATCTGAAAACATATATTTGTTGCTAGATTATTTAAAACCAAAAGTAACGTTTTAGCAGCTATTAAAATATTAATAATTAAACAAAAACTACGAGTATATTGTTACCTAATGATAAATTTAAAAAAAGTATTCCAATGTTTTCGAGCGGTTTCAGTCGGAAACAGGTTCTAACTTATTCATGCCACTTACATAATGCTGCATATTTCAAGGTGTAAACATTTAAATAAAACAGTATTGCTTTGCCACTTGTTTAACGATTAAATTCCGGAATTTCTCATACCTTGCCTGGTGCAAAACTAGTATTCTATATGCGGATATCGTTGGTTTTACCGCCATCTCGTCGACTTATAGCGCCCAAGATTTGGTTAAAATGCTTAACGAGCTCTTCGCACGCTTCGATAGGCTCGCCGAGGTAATATTTCCTTGTGTTTTTCTTCTCCAACGTTTTATGTTTTTTCTGCGTTATTTTTATGTTGATTCTACTCCAGCTGTTCATTCACCTGTCCGGGCCATGGGTGAGGTCTAACTCATAGAATTTTCTTCTAATGATGATTATGATGTTTAAGATACCCCATCTAGAAACGGGGACTTTTTCTTTTCTCTTCTTGGGTGTCTCTTTACTTTAATTTGAATTTTCTTTTCCCTTCTGTTTTCAGTTTAAATTTTTCATTCAGCTCTCTTCTTCTTATTTATTCTTTTTAGATTTCATGACGTGGTGGACAAGGGGGCGAATGACCAACAAAAGTTATGTCCAATCAGGCGTATATAATGTTTCGAGTTGATTTTTTCCTTCGAGGGGTTTTATTTTGCGGTTTTTTCAATGTGGTTTATTTTTGGGTTCAGTTAATTTGACAGCGATTTTGCTCGGGCTGGGCTGAATGGGATGAGTCCTGCATGTGTGTTTGCGTTTATCCTTTCACTGGTCTTTGGAAGAATTGTTTTTTCAGTTCATTAACTTGATTTTGCGGGCAAAGTAAAGTACGAGGGTGGCTTACGTTGGCCAGGTCCTATTCTTCTTCGGTTACTTTTGATTTAAATAACCATATATATTGGGTTAATTTAAACTTGAACTAAATCATATTTATGTTCCCATAGAAATATCAACAATTGCGCATTAAGATTCTTGGGGATTGCTATTATTGCATTAGCGGTGCCCCCGATGAGCGACCGGATCACGCCGTCATGTGCGTGCACATGGGACTCTCCATGGTGAAGGCCATCAAGTGAGTAGCAGTTGAAGAAAGCTCCCTTGGGGAAGTGGGGAAAGCAGCTTGACAGGCGAAAGGCGATGCCAAATCAACGTTTGTTCAATTAATAATAATTGCACTTAACCACGCTCGCTCCTTTCGCTCTTTGGGCGAAAGCCATTTCCCAAGCATGCTTTCTGGCGTTACTAACAACCAACCACTCACCGGGCGATGTTGCGTGTCACTCCCGTTCTGTGTTTGCAGGTATGTGCAGCAGAAGGCCAACTCACCTGTTGATATGCGTGTGGGCATTCACACGGGAGCGGTGCTCGCCGGCATTCTCGGCCAGCGACAGTGGCAGTTTGACGTTTACTCCAAGGACGTAGAGCTGGCTAATAAAATGGAATCGAGCGGCAAGGCTGGGTGAGTCGGGTTTAACTGCTGTCACGTCACTCCCTCTGTTGCATAATTGATAACGGCCATCGCGGTCGTCGTCACTTGTGGCAAGTGCTTATTATGATTTGGCTTTGTCACTTTGGCATGCAAATTTATGCGTTTGTTTATGCACCGTTCAGTTATTCCGCTCCTGTCCCTCTCTGTTCGCTGATTCTTACTCATGGAAATTTCATTCACTCTAATCGCTTTAGACGCGTTCACATTTCGGACAAAACGCTGGCCTTCCTTAACGGCGAATTTGAAGTGGAGCCCGCCTTTGGCGAGAAAAGGGAGGAGCTGTTGCGCATCGCTGGACTAAAGACTTACTTCATCACCAAGGTGGTGAAGCCGGTAGGTGTAAACTTGTTTTTCCTGGATTTGGTACTTTCTTTCCCAGATTTGTTTTTTAATTTTGACTTATTATGTTTTAACATGTAATTAATTAATGTAACCGTAATAAACATAACGTGTAATATGTGTTCTAATACCAATGATAAAGTAAGCGAGTTACTGATTCAAATGTACATAGTTTCCCTGACCAAAAAATATTTTGAATGTTGAACATTTTTAATTGACTTTCAAGAATAGTCTGATAAATTATGATAATGCCGAATTTCTATATTTAAAAGGCTAATGCTTAGCATTTTATTTTTATTTTTTTATTGTCTATCAACTTGCTTAATAAAAATGAAATCAATCTTCCCCAGTTTGCATCGCCATGTGCCAAGAAAATCAGTGAAACTCAAGCTGAAAACTCTCACCACAGTCCTAATGGATCGGCCATCGACGTCGTGGCAGGTGAAGATGACAACGACGCCACATTGGATGATGAGGAGCTTCTGGCGCAGAACTTTGTATCTAATGGGCACCAAACAGCGGTGGCGGAAGATGAAGAAGAGCAGGTGAAATTGGAGAACTTCAAGCAACGATTGAAAGACGAACTGGTGACCCGTGATGGACATGAGTAAGTATATAAGACATTGGCTACGTTTCCATATGTGTACACACTTACATATGTGTGGATTAAGAAGGAACGTGGTATATGTATTTTAAGAAACTTGCATATGATTTACCCCTAATATGTATGCTTATACTAAAGTTGTATGCCCTAATGTGTTATATTTTAAACAAAAAATATACTATAGTCTCACTCAAACAAACCCTTATTTGTAGGAACCTGACCAAGGACACCAACATATTCTTGCGCTTTAAGAACCCGCAACTGGAGCAATCCTATGCCGTGTACAGAGAGCCGTATAGTTCTCTTCCGCTTCTTGCCGCTCTGCTGGTGCAGTGCATCGACGTATTATACTCCTATTTAGTTCTGCCGAGATCAACGCTCCACTTCATTAATATTGCTGCTCCACTGGTACCGATCGCAATGCTAGTTGTGATTAGCATCGCCGAGAGCTTCAGCGGAATGCTGCCCAAGTTTTTTGTGGACGTGAGCAAGCGCTTCAATGACATTACCTTCGTTCGGGAGCTGGCGGCCATAATTATTGCTCTCACCATAGGGCTCAGCAATGTCATAGACATGGTTTGTTCATTTTTTTCATACGGGACTTTACACTCAGCAAAATAAAAACCGTTTTGGCAATAGTTTGAGGCATAAATATATTTAATATATAATACAAACATTTATTTTTCATAAGTCGAAGTAATCATAATTTTATCTTAGTTTGTTGGCAGATGGAAATTCACTGTTATTTGCATAAAAGTAGTATTTATTCCAAAAATGTTTTTCTGCGAGTGTTGGTTAGGCGTGCTCAAGTCCTGGCACTGATTTCCCTCTATTTCCTTGACAGTTCTTCTTCGTTACCTTCGTGCGCACCGAACATATTGTGAGTGAAAGCGAATTCAATGCCACGGCCGGCGTGGATAGCGAGGTGGACGTAGACGTGGAGATGGAGGGGGTGGTAACCGCCGAGCACCTGCTGCCCGCATCATTTGTGGAACAAATGCGCGAGGCAGTGCCGACGGAAAGAGTTCTATATCCGTCCTACTTAAGTAATTTTGGAGTACTTATATTGATTGCGATAGCCGTAATTGCTCAACTCACTCATCTTACGAAGATTTTGCTGCTGTTATCCATTGCAGGTAACTTAGATAAAGCGCAGTGTTGTTTTTTTATAAGTTAAAAATTTTGTTTTTGAAAAATAGCTCTGCATTGCTACTTCAACATATTCATCATGCAGGACCTTTATGCTTTGGAGGACGATTTTGCACATCAACCGTAAGTGGGGAAGGCTTTACTAATTTACTATCTAAAATATCTACCCTCTTATCCATTATTAGAATCATATCTACGCGGTATTGCGCTTCAGGGCTTTTACTGGTTGCTGCCTTGGCGTTAAGCACCTTGGCTAGACACGTGAGTAAAAACAAGCCCATGATATAGATATACTATAGTAATTAAACCATTCTAGATGGACCATGAAGACAGAGTCATTTTTAAATGGAAAACCGAGGTGGCCGAGCAAAAAGAGACAGCAAACGATATGCGCCAACGTAACGAGGCTTTGGTCTATAATGTCCTACCAGTCCATGTGGCAGAGCACTTCATGAAGAACACTAAACGATCCCACGATGATCTATACTCCCAGAGTTACGCTGAGGTTGGCGTTTTATTTGCCAGTATGCCAAACTTTTCGGGTAAGACACTAAGCCTTCTGTTCTGTTTCAAACTTGTTCCAAGCCCAATATTAACTTATTAATGTACCTAATAAAATTCAATTCAATTCATTAAAAAACACTTTATTCCTTTTTAGATTTCTATTCCGAAGAAACAGTAAATAATCAGGGTTTGGAATGTCTACGCTTTCTCAATGAGGTTATCTCAGATTTTGATGCAGTAAGTAGTATTCTATAAAGATAACCTAACTGGTACGATTTTACATTGTTATTACATGAACTATTTTTTAGTTATTGGAGCTGCCACAGTTTCAGGACATCATCAAAATCAAAACCATTGGATCCACATACATGGCCGCTAGCGGCATAAACCTACAGAGGAACCTCCGCAGTGATGCATCCATCACAGAACGCTGGTCCCACCTGGCCGTTTTGGTGGAGTTTGCATTGGAACTGAAGCACGCCCTACAGGGCATCAACGAGCAGTCGTTCAATCACTTCGTCCTCAAGATGGGCATCAATCATGGACCGATAACGGCGGGCGTAATTGGAGCCCGTAAGCCGCACTACGATATCTGGGGCAATACGGTAAACGTGGCATCGCGCATGGAGAGCACAGGAAAGGCAGGCGCCATTCAGGTCACAGAGGAAACATGCAACATACTACAGCCTTTTGGCTACACATTCCTTCAGCGAGGTCTGGTTGCTGTCAAGGGAAAGGGACAATTGATGACATATTATTTGCAGGTTTGTTTTCGACCTGTAGCCCAAAGAAATGTACTACATTTATTGTTTGCTTTCTTTTACAGGGTAAGTCCCAGTCGAGTGCTGAGCAAGTAGCGCCTGCCGCCGTTGAGCTCCATGGGCAGGAATCATCTGCTCTGGAATCCACCACCGAATTAGAGGCCTCCGACATTAAGACGCCTTTGTTGAAGATCAAGGTCCCGGAGGCGTCCGCGGGCTGTGAAGGAATCGCCCAGGAGCAGAGCTTGGGAAATGGCATGGCTGTCCAAGCGGGGGTCGGGGAATCCCATTCTTTGCTAGAATAATTTGCTAATTGGCTTTTTATTTGCACTTGAGTCTGTGTGGGAGTGTTTCTATGAGTGTGCATGCGAAAAGGTGTGAATGTGTGTGTGGCTGTGTCAGAGAACAAAAGTTAACTGTTATAAAGCTGTTATACTTGCTATAAATTTGGTTTTGCCTCAGTATTCGTGTGATATTCTATGCCAGGTGTAGCAATTTATGAAAAAAAATAAAGCATAATTCCGATTTAGTTAAATTTATAAAGTTGCTTTCCAAAAGTTTGTAAACTGTGTACCTAAAAAGAAGAAATATATTTAGTATTTAAATATATTTGACTACGACTAAGTATTTTCGGTTATTGTGAATCGGTTTTTGTTTCAAACAAAATTGTTATTTGATTTCCACGAACTGTAATATACTAATAAGTGAACCACTTTGCTTTAAAAATTAATTGATGTGTAGTTTAGTAGGTCACCAGAAACAACCATTTTGCATCTCAATGTGTAAAATATATATATATGCGCATAAACTATGGAACACTAATATAAATAATAAAAAAAACGCTAATAGGCCCTAATAATATAGAGAGTGAATATTAGTTGAGAATCCGAATCCCACCACAAACAAATGCAACCCACAAGTCAGTCCAATAAGCAAATAAAAGTAACGATAAAAATTAGTTAACGAAATTACTTAATAATAGAAAACGCAATAGAAGTCAAGCTGGAATGAAATAATCTTGTACGTCATCAACTAATATATACATATATACACACCTTCTTATATATAGAGGTATATAGATGTAAAGAAACTTATAAATGGCATCGCATGCTTGTTAGAACATTTCAACGAATTAGCAAAGAAACAACAAACGAACTTACTTATCAAGCATAACGAAAACATGAAACTTAACTTGGTCTAAAATCTGTTTTATGCGTATGTCCATCAGCCTATAGAATTCCCACATTAATTTGTTTTCTTTGATGGCTAAAAGCATGACAATCAAGACGAACGAAACGGTATAAATGATTGGTTTAGCTTCCAAAATATTCAATTCCTTTCCACTTGTTAAATAAACACTACAAAACTTTATTAAACATTTAATTCTAGCCAAAGGGTGTGGTGATTTTAAAATTATTTTTTTCCAATTTGGGATATCCTATCATTTAAAAAAGATGATTACCTAAAATGTATCTATAATTGGAAAACAAAATACCAAACAATTAGCAAATTATAGAGAAATAAATAAAATAAATAAATTATAAAGTGTTTAGTTTCTTTTTATGACTGAGAAGGAAAGTGGAAAATCCAATGTAGTTTTTAATTATTTTTAAAACTCTTATACGTAGTTTCTAAACACGTTTTTACAATTAATTTTAAAGGGTTTAATATTTAATTCAATTAATTCAAATTACCCTATGTAATTAATTAGTTCTCATCTCACTCAGAACAATGGTACTTCCCAAAACCATGGTTTTATTATTTTCTATTACTCCTTTTTGAAAATCAGTGGAAACAACCTTTATAAATCATTCTTTTTAAGAAGCCCGCCCTGTGTACATACTTCACCTGCCAGTTTTAAGGTATTTTATAGCTCTTGATAAAGCCAAAAATTATAAATAAGAAGGAAAACATTTCCAATATTATTAATTTTCAAAAAAAAACATAATATTAAACTAAGTTGCGCAATGTACACTTTTAAATTATGTTGTGTTAGTCAAACAGCTGACGGTGCAGTGAGAACGTATGAATTTTCGGAAATAAATGTGTGTGCAGCCCTGATAGTTCGTTCCAATAACAATATATCGATATATCGATATCGTCCCGTCTGACGACCCATTTCACGATAGCAAAAAAGTGCAAAAAACTAAATTCTCGGCGTAATTAATTAGTAAATAGCGTAGTTAAGCAGCAGGTGAGTAGGCGCACAGCCCGCACACCCCGCGACCCCAGAAGTTGTGCCTGGCCAGCTGTGAAATTGACCGAGGGCAAGGCCATCGGGCTGGTGGCCCCCACACAAAAAGTGAGCGAGCTGCGCGATTATGCCAAAACGCAAAGCAAAAGTGGCCTCTGCCAACGCATGAGGGTCGGTCGTCCGCCCGTTTTGGTAATCGCGCAGGCCGCGGGATCAGTTCGCCTTCTAATCCGCTTCCATCCTACTCTGAATCCCGCCCTTGTGCTACTGCTCCTGCCCCAATAGCCAACACCTCCACATCCATCCCCAGACGGACCCACGATCCAGACCCAGTCGAGATGTCGCTCAAGCCCAAGATAGTGGAGTTTGTCGATGTTTGGCCGCGCCTGCGCTGCATCGCCGAGTCGGTGATAACGCTCACCAAAGTGGAGCGCTCGGTGTGGAACACAAGCTTCAGGTAGGTATCGGTTTTCCACAGATGCGGTCGGGACAATAGCACCCACTAGGGTCTTCGAGAAGATTATATTTAAAATGTTAAATATATATTTAGAAATAGCAAGTTATTTTTTGTTTAGCTTAACAAGGTGTTATTACTTAGCTTTATAGCCATATGTTTCTCCCAACAGCAGCCGTCACTAATTTAGATGCAAATAAGTCGCAAGTGATTTGCACAATTTCGTAATCTTTCGGCCTGATTAATGTACTGATAGTTTTGTAAACGTGTAGATAACAAATAGGGTTTGTTTTGCAGCCGCATATTTTGACCGCAATCTTTAAGAAACATTGTTTGTAAATTTTGGGGATTTAGGGTAAGTCAGATTCTGCTATTATTCCGACCGCAGCTGTTCGTATATGTGTGTGCAGCGTGAGTTGCCAAAATGGAATTGCTAAAATAAAATACGCACTAACACATCTGCCTGTCCAATCACCTTCCCAAAACATATAGCGACGTTTACACGCTGTGCGTGGCGCAGCCGGAACCGATGGCCGATCGACTCTATGGCGAGACAAAGCACTTCCTCGAAGAGCACGTCCAGGAGATGTTGTCCAAGAAGGTGGTAGTCCAGGGCGACAGCTCCAACTCGCACGGTGGACCGGACCTTCTACATCGCTACTACACCACCTGGATGGAATACAGTCAGGGAATCAAGTATCTGCACCAGCTGTATATGTAAGCATCCGTTAAAAGTTATTCTATAAACGTACTGACAATTGGGCTTCATTACTTTCAGCTATCTGAACCAGCAGCACATCAAAAAACAAAAGATCACCGACACGGAATCATTTTACGGAAATCTGTCCAGCGATGCTTCAGAGCAAATGGAAATTGGTGAACTGGGGTTAGACATCTGGCGCCTGAATATGATTGAGTTCCTTTCCAGCGAACTAGTGCGTCATATACTTGAGGGAATTGCCGCAGACAGGGCCAGCAATGGCACCTTAGATCACCATCGGGTGCAAATTATCAACGGAGTGATACACAGTTTCGTGGAGGTACAGGACTACAAGAAAACAGGTTCGCTCAAGCTCTACCAGGAACTCTTCGAAGGCCCCATGCTGGATGCCAGTGGTGCCTATTACACAGACGAGGCCAACAAGCTGCTTCAGCGCTGCTCTGTATCGGAGTACATGCAGGAGGTTATTCGCATACTAGAATATGAGAGCCGGAGAGCACAGAAGTTCCTGCATTTTAGCTCCCTGCCAAAGTTACGAAAAGAGTGCGAGGAGAAATTTATAAACGACCGTTTGGGCTTTATCTATTCGGAGTGTCGCGAAATGGTGTCCGAAGAGCGGCGACAAGATCTGCGCAACATGTATATCGTACTCAAACCCATACCTGACAACCTGAAATCCGAGCTCATCACGACCTTCCTTGATCACATTAAAAGTGAGGGTTTGCAGACTGTATCCGCGCTTAAGGGCGAAAATATTCACATTGCGTTCGTGGAGAATATGTTAAAGGTGCATCAAAAGTACCAGGAGCTCATCGCAGACGTTTTCGAGAACGATTCTCTCTTCCTTAGCGCGTTAGACAAGGCATGCGCCAGCGTTATTAATCGCCGGCCGACTGAACGGCAGCCTTGTCGCAGTGCCGAGTATGTGGCCAAATACTGTGATACGCTACTGAAAAAGTCCAAGACCTGCGAAGCGGAGATCGACCAAAAGCTTACCAACAACATAACCATCTTTAAGTATATCGAGGATAAGGATGTGTACCAGAAATTTTATAGCCGATTGTTAGCCAAGCGCCTCATCCACGAGCAGAGTCAGAGCATGGATGCGGAGGAGGGAATGATTAATCGGTTGAAGGTGAGTGTTCTTGGAAGGATACAAGTCAGTACAACAAAAAATTAAAGGAATATAGCATGATTAGCTAATAGCCATGACAGATAAATTGAAAATAATCATACAAACTGATAACTGCGAAAACTGACCTTTCATAATTATCGTAATATTGCACGCGCACCATGATAACCTAATTTGATTTATATTATAGTTTGATAATTTGTCATTATAACTGCCCTTTAACACTAATAGTGATATATATTAGCTTACTTTTCTTCTTATATTCCATTAAGATTTTTATTTATTTTTACAGCAAGCCTGCGGATATGAGTTTACCAATAAATTACATCGAATGTTTACGGATATATCGGTATCTACAGACCTGAACAACAAGTTTAATACTCACCTAAAGGATAACAATGTGGACTTAGGTTATTTATAACTTATAATTTGTTTTTCCTAGTTGGCTAAAATGTATATTTCTATACAGGCATCAATCTCTCCATTAAAGTCCTCCAGGCGGGTGCTTGGCCGTTGGGGTCTACGCAAGTTATACCGTTTGCAGTGCCGCAGGAATTTGAAAAGTCGATTAAAATGGTATGTTGAAAACTAATTTATAGGAAACCGTCTTTTAATATAAACAAGAAGGGACGCTGTGGTGGCTTGCAGTGAATCAGATATTTCTCTTTTAAATAATTTAAAATTGAAACGCGGTCTTTAAATTTCTACAAGATAATCACCGCGTGTCAGGTAAAACATTATAATACTTTACGCCGTCGGAGATTTATAAGATATTGTAATACCTATTTATTTATTTATTTTTTTGTCGTTTTTCTAGTTTGAGGATTATTATCATAAGTTGTTCAGTGGTCGCAAACTGACTTGGCTGCATCACATGTGCCATGGAGAACTAAAGCTAAGCCATTTGAAAAAATCCTACATCGTGACGATGCAAACGTACCAGATGGCGATGATTCTGCTGTTTGAGACAAGCGACAGTCTGAGTTGTCGGGAAATTCAGAACACACTGCAGCTCAACGACGAAACGTTTCAGAAGCACATGCAGCCTATGATCGAGTCCAAGCTGTTGAATGCCAGCTCAGAGAATCTCGCCGGGGAGACTCGAATAGAATTGAATTTGGATTACACAAATAAACGTACAAAGTTTAAGATTAGTTCGGCTTTGCAAAAGGAAACGCCACAGGAGGTAAGTAATTACATATTGCAAGGCGCTTTTTAATTAATTTATCCTTTAGGTGGAACACACGATCAACTCTGTGGATGAAGACCGAAAACTGTTCCTGCAAGCCGCCATTGTCAGAATTATGAAGGCGCGCAAGGTCCTGAAACACAATGCGCTAATACAAGAGGTATAAATGGAACATCATTAGCCATGAAATAAGGAATACATAAAATAATTTTCTTTCGCAGGTTCTCTCTTTATCAAAGGTTAGCTTTACGCCCAACATTGCAATGATCAAGAAATGCGTGGAGTCGTTAATTGACAAACAATACATTGAGCGAACTGCGAATTCGGGCGATGAATATAGCTACATGGCCTAGACTGCGGAAGAGATTATTTAATCTTAAACGAACTAATTTCCCAGACCACATCCCCTCTACACACAACAAAAATTGTTAACCAAGCGGCTTATTTTGTCTTAAATCCCCTCATGCATAGACAGGATTTAAAAATATTCGTTGAAGAAAGGAAGCCAAGCAAAGAAATGGTCGATCAATTTGGATTTTGTTTTTTATGATCTTAGCATATTGGAATAGAAGATGTGTGGCGATCGAACGATGTTACTGATACTTTTAATTTAGTTTAGTTAGTTGCCCCACTTTTATTTAATGCGTGTGTCCTATATAATTGTAGATATATTCCTTTTATGTATTGTATATTTATCTGGTTTTATGCACACACGCACAAAGCAGAAAGAATTGCTGGAAAATGTATAATAAAAACCGAAAAAAAAGTTTTCAAATTCGATACAAAATATTTCCTCCCACACATGTTTACTGTCAGTTTCCTAAACATATCGATTACGTTACCCTATCAATCAGAATTTAATTAAGTTTAAAATATATATATCGGGCAGGCTCTGAACAATTTTTTCGGGTTTATGTGCAATTCAAAATTTGTTAATAAGACTTGCAATAGAGATAATAAGCGGAAATATTTCAGTCGGTTTAAACTAAACCGAGAAAATTCACTCAAGAGAAGGACTTGAAACAATCGACTAAATTTCTACTTAATAATAAATTCCTCGGAGTGGTAGCCGGAGTTTGCCTGAATTCGGTTATGTGTTATTAGTTTCGATCATTTTCTTCATTAAAACAAGATTTTCGTAATGTTTCAAAATGATTTAATTTGTTTATTTTATTTTATTTACCCTCATATACAATTACGGAATTAAATATTTATAAATATTAAATATCTGTTTTTGCTAAAAATTATATGTATTTCTTTTTGTTTACTGCTGTCTGTGCTTGCAACTGTGTAACTTCCTTAGATCTGTTCATAGTTTTATTGTAATTTGTCATTTAAATCGGAAACTTTCTGAGTAGTATCCCAGAACTTGCTATATTTCCAGAATTCGTGAATTTTGTTTATAGGTTATTCAGTATATAATCGGGCCAATAAGACTATGTTGAAAACTAAAATATACTTCCAGTTCTCGAATTTAAAAAATAAATATTTTTATTTCTGTTTTATGACGACCAGTAATTCTTAAATGTCGGTTTAAATATTATATTAATTTTGTGTTCAATAACCATTTAAGTTTTGCCTTTACCAAAGGATCCAATTTAAATAGATATACCTATATAGAAAGTACACAAGGGCCATGGATTACTTTTGTTTTTAATAATTTTATTTCGTTTCATGCTACTTTTCTAAAAAATATATTCAATAATGTTAATTCAAATAATTGTACATATATCATTAATTATAATAAATACCAACTTGCTATAGCATATAATATAAATCGTTAATAATACTTTCAACTTGCTCTTGGGGGCCAGCTCCTGCTCATAAAATGCTGCCAAAACGTTTATTCTTGGCGTCTCAGTGAGTGTTAATAAAAAATATGTTATCTTCCATATATATATATATCCTTTTTCTGTTTTTCATTTTTAATATTTAATGACTAGTAAACGATTACAGTTTTGTCGTTTCATATTGCAGCTTTTTTCTCTAACCTCCCAACTTCATTCTCGATCAAAATGCTTCCTCTGGTAAAATCGTCTTGAGCATTAATTTTACATTTTAATGTTGTATGGATTAAATCAATTTCGAACTCGTTTTTATTATCAAACATTCTTTGAAATGTGGAGGGCTTAACTTCATTCTTTTTCAGTTTTTGGAAATATTATACGTATTAGATTTTAGGCTCTTGCTTATTATTGTGACTGGGTTTATTTTTTATCAGGGCTTGTTGGGCAACGCAACGGACTTTCGATTAGAATACATCGTCTGTAATTGCACTTTTCCCGTAATTCACCTCCTTTAAGTCCCCTGACCAATATGGAAAACAGGAAAACAGATATCAAACCCAAACATATTTCTCAACCACACAAAAAGTACCTAAAAAACTAAACGTCTTCGTAAAGTAAGTAATGTTGCCTAGAACCCTAAACGGTTCAGTTATAGTCCAAACTATATATATAGCGCTCATATCTCTATACGTTATATAAATTCAGTGCTTGTATAAGTTATAAATTTTCTGCTGCGCCCAAGGTTGCGTTCATTCGGTAATGTTTTGGTTGTACGGCCATAGAATAATTGCATTCATTTTTCTTTTAACAAGTTCAAGGTCTTGGGAGACCGGACAAACATTATACTATAGCCGCGCGATACATTCAACTTCGTTTTATTTTCTTTACTTTGTGAGAGTGGAATATTGTTTGCATATGTTCAGTTAATTTCATTGACCTTCATATTTTCGATTTCGCTTAAATTTCCTTTGTTTAACGCTTTTTCATTTTCATTTTCAGTCTTTACGATTCACGGCTTTTGTGCATTTGAATTATTCAGTTTTCTCATTACTATATGACCGATATACAATACGATGGTATACAAAATTGCTTCAATTAGTTTCAAGGTGAACGAACACGAGCGTGAGAAAGTTTTGCTGATCGGATGAGCAGGTGAATGGGTGGGTGGGTGCACAGAAAAAATCTCAACTTGCGACCCGAACAACGTGAATGTAAGTGCAGGGTTATTATCATTTTCGATGCTATTATACGCTTATGGTATACATAAATTTTGGGGCAGTGCTTAGCCTTGCCTGCGAGGAGTTCTCTACTGATCCAAGGAGGCGGTTTTCGAACGTTTCCAAAGGGATTTAAAGAGGCCCTTCTTCTTAGGTTTGGTATTAGTGGTCACTCCCGAGGCTATGTTGTCCTTGCGACTGGTATCCTTGCGCTTGGAGGATCCTGGACAAAACAATTCGACATTAAAATATTTAATTCAATTCTGTATAATATGATATATTTGCTTTATAATCTTACCCGTTTCGAATTCAAAGGCTGGCTTGCTGTTGTTATCATCCATAAGCTGGTCGCAATAGGCCTTATGCTTCCGATCCTTGCTGTTTTCTGTTTGGAATAAGAAACTTGCTTTACTAAACAACCCGTAAAATTTACTTTAACTCACTCTTTTTGGTTATCAACAAACTTGTCACCCGCCGCAGTGCCTCGCGGGGTGATTTGTTTAGGAAGGAAGGCGTGAGATTTGGTGGCAGTGTTAAGGGCTTGCGCGATTGTCCGGTGCCCGACATGCCCGCCGGATTATCCCACACCCGCACGGAGGCCAGGCGATCTATGTTCTCGGTGGAGGCTGGGCGCATTCCCCGTTGTTTGGGATACCATCCGCGAGCCGGGGCTCCGGTCATGCGTAGCATCTCATTGGAGGCCAAAGCATGGTTGATAGAGCGCTGGCGGCAAATTTGGGCTGTTCCATAGTTACTGCCTAATATGAAAGAAAGAAATAGGAGGGGTTATCAAACAAATTGCGGAAAAATATCTTTTTTTATAATTTTCCATATTGGGAAGACCAACCAAAACTAAACTTATAATTAAATCTCTCAACTGTAAGCATATGTATATCTAAAAAAAAGGCTATCAAAGGGTGAAACATTAATTTAACATATTTAAATCAACAGTCCAGAGAATCTTTACAGATGTCTGGTACGTATTTGAATAATTCACGATTTCGAATTCTTTTTGCCGATAATGTTAAATTTAAACCATATCCAGAATATGAAAGAAAGTTACCCCCAATCCCCAAAACTGAAGTGCCCATGTTGATGCTGTTTGATGTGCTTGACCTGGGAGCTGTGCGGGAACCGCTGACCACTGGCAGCGGCTCGTTTTGGCGTCTATATGGCGTACGTGGTATGTCACAGCTGTAAAAGAATTTAGTTAGGGAATACTACTCGGGGTTTTTTTATTCATATATATAACTCTCACCCTCTGGCAAATATTGGCGTTTCTGGAAGACTACATGAGGTTTGCAGGCGGTGCTCCTCGCGCGGGGACTGCTTCAGACTGCGCTTGGTGCCATAATTAATGTACCGTCGTTGATAAGACCCGGAACCACCCACCATTCCTTCAAGGGGTGGTGGTGGCAGTGGAGGCATCGGACCCAGCCCGGTGGGCGTTGTTATCCCACTGCCACCACTGCTATAGTGGCCAAAAAGCTTGGGCGATCGCTTGCGGTACTGCGAGTCAATACTCCAGGATTTCATGGTGTTGGCCGAATGACCTCCAGTGGCTCGATGCGGGGGCACAATTGGCGGCCCAGATAGGCCGTCCAAGAAGCTTGCAGTTTGATGGGCAGGAGCCGGTGGCGGTGGCAGCTCGTCGGTGAAGTGTCGCACGGCTGCAACGTTGTCGCGACTGCGGCGCGTGTGGCTGTTGCTACTGTGCACCGCCGCTCCCGAGGCGGTGGCATGCACCTCAACTACTGTAGTGCCACGGTTCGCGGGAGGGGCACTCGCCGCCACCACTGCCGGAAGATCTAACTGCTTTCGCGGTTCCACCGGGGATGGCGGCAGTGGGGCATCGTAGTCAAATAAATCCGGATTAGAGCTTGGCGGCGATGGAGGAAGGGGGCCCAGGCCGGGCATCTGCGACAACAGCATCTCCTTGGCACTCTCGGATTTATGGACTCCAGGCCTAAACTCCAGTATTCGCTTGGCGTGCAACTCAGCAGCTGTAGCAGCGGCTAAAGCGGATCCACTTCCATTGCAGGCCGCCGATTGGCCAATAATTTGAATGTCTCCGCGCAGCAATGCGTTGACGTTGTGTTCAATTTGCATCAAAGAAGCACACCCATAGCTAAAGTCGGACAGTTCCTCATCCTCTTCTAAAGTTGGGGCTAGATCGGTGTGTGGAGTGGTGGCGTTGGAAACTCGTTGATCTACATAGGAAGAAAATAGTTATAATTATTTAGAAAAAGAAAAGTAAGGTTTTTACTCACCATTTCCGTTGTATGCGTACAGCTCGTAGCTTCCGTTTCCATTGAGACGAGCCTCATCGAACTCCTCGCTGCTTGAAGTGTTGTCCGGCATGGACTCGGCGCTCAGACGCTTTTCGGTCAGCATCGCGGTCTTGCTCTTGACCGGCTTGCAGTGGCCTAGTTGGTCCGGTGCTTCGGCGATGTCCAGCGATAAAGCAGCCCTATGAGCAGCGGCTATCTCCATACCTCGGCGTGAATTCGCCGCAGTAGGCTCGCACTCGTTATAAACGAAGTTCTTTTCAGAGGAGACAGGTGGCGGCGGCAGGGGCAGTGGAGTGGCATCACTCTGCTCGCTGTCGCTCGTGTAAAACTCATTACTGATCGCTCCCGCTCCAACTTTGACTCCAGATCCAGCTTTCTCAGCCAACGAGGGACGAGGCGGCTTCGGTATGCAAAACACATCTGCGGCACGGGGCGGTTTTTTGGCTGTGGAACGGCGTATAATAAAAGTTCCCTTGCCCAGCATACTCTGCTCGTTGTACACAAAGCTGTTATTAAAATCATCTAAGTTGTTGGATTTCTGGAAATGTTGCAGGATAAGAAAAATATTAAACGGGTTAATAAATTCCAATGCTCTTCTGAATGTGACTCACCTTCTTGGAGGCGGCTCCAGACGCCTTTTTGGTGCCACTGGACTTCTTCTTATTGCTCTTGAAATGGATCTCCCATGCGACTCCGTTCTGCTTTACAGGGGTGAGGTCCGTGGAGATGGTGGACTCCTCCAGTGAGTCCTCCGAGTAGTCCTCATCCCTGCCAATGGCCTTCGGAGTCGCCACATTGACGTGAGAAGCAGCAGGTGATGCCTCCTCGCTGGACGTGTGTTGTGAACCGGACGAGGAGGTTGAGCTGCTGGAATGGGGATTGAGCATGTGGCACACCTCTTTGTGCTTCTCCACTGAGCTGAGCAGTCGTTTACTACGAGCCCCCTCCCCTCCGGAAGCCTTGGAGGACGGACCGGGGTAGATGGTCACCGGGTGTTCGTTGACGAAGGGCTCCGGCAGCTTGGCCAGATTGCCACGGAGCACAGCATTATGGACGGCACTGATGTCGATGCCTAGTGCGTTGCGTCCGCCGTTGCAGCTGCCCGGGTGTCGTATAGCCGCCAATCCACTTGAGGAATTGGCAGCGGAAGCTCCACCTAAATTCGAGGCCCTGGCCCCACAGCACGGTAGACTTGAGTAGTTTGAGTTGGTGGCTGGGGTCGAGCTGGAACCCCGTACCTTCGGCTGGAGGAAGGGAAAAGTGGTGGTTGTGCGGTGAGTTAATTGGTTTCCCATTAGCTAGATGGCTTGCAGTGTGGCTTTTACGAACTCACCAGCGTTGTCTGAATGAGGGGCGTCGTAGTTTCCTGTCCGTGTTCCACCTCAGACAATTTGGTTAGATTCTCAGCTGTGCCATCCACCTCATTAAAACTTCCTTCGGGCACAGTGTCAGTGCTGGGTGTTTGGGGCACATCTTCGGAGTCCTTTTTGGACATGCTGTCAAGTCAAAGTCAAAAGTTTGTAAGGTAACGCTATATTGGGTAGGGTTAGGTTAAAGCGGTAATTGCAATTTGCCAATTCACTGCGTCTAGCACGCTAAAGACTAATATCTGCTTGTTTTTAAATTTGAGATAAAAGCCGATTACTGCCGTAAAATATTTAAAGTTATTGAAGCTATTTTAAAAATTAATTTTAAAAAGTTTAGAATATATTATAAGAGGTCTAATATCTAGCACAATTCTTTTCCCAATGGTTTTATTCTATCACACATTGAGGTATTTGAAGAACGAGGCAACTTTTTATTGGGCACATTGTTTAGGCTTTTACTCACTTTTTGCGACTAAGACTCATGTATCCGTCGTCCTCGGACTGATTCTCGCCACTGTTGCTGTGCAAGGCCACCGGTTTCGTTGCTGCCTCCTCGAACTCCGAAATGATCTCGTCGAGGACTTTAATGGGCTCAGGTATGTCATCCAAGGAGATCGGTTCCAGCGACTGCAGCTGTATTTGATCCCCGCTATGGAACAATGAAGTCAAAATGTTATATATTTTAAGTTGTTATTTTACTATCAAACTTATATACATAATGGAACGAACTTATGTATTGTCGCTGTTATAGTAAAGACAAAATGTGGTTTTACTAAAGGTATTAGAATACTAAGCAAAGAGTTACAAGCGTCATGGTCTGTCTGATATTTTAAAAGCTGATATCTTAACAATTTATTTTGTTGTTAAGATATTATGGCAAACTATCATATTCTCAAAGAATTCCTTTAGAATCGGTTGACCTATTTCACAAGCCAGCTTTAGAAATGGCATCGCAGTCAAAACTGTAAACCTCTCAATATGTATAGTTTCCGCTCTCTAAAAAAAATGCTAAGCTAAAATAGATTTCATAAGAAACCGAAAAGACTGTATAAGTGTCCTCATGTGTTGCAGTTTTCGAGCATAGGAGTGTTAATGTGACTTTTAAATTTGATTTTGCTTAAAAAAACGACATACTTTTGCCTTTGTTGGTCAGCTCCAGCGGCGGCAGAATCTGCATCTGGATTTGGGTCTACCTCCGTCTCCGCCTCTTGGGAATCCAATGCGCGATTGGAGTCTGTCATTTCCAACTGGAACCGCTCCGCCTCCGAATCGAACGCCCCCTCCTCCTCTGTCGACGGTTCGTTGGAATCGCGTGCTCCACACGATTCAGGTGCTGCTGCCATTATGCGATGCTCATTGAGACCATTGACGGGAGACCTGCTCTGCGGTGTCTTCTATTTCTTATTTGTGGATGTGGGATATTTCGTTGATTATGAAAATGTAATCAATGAGCCCACCAGCGTCAACGTCCCTGCCTCAGTCAGCGTCGCTGCTGACGATGCTTTGTTGTCGGCTGTTTCAATTTTCATCTATGCAATGTGTGAAATTGATTGGCGGTTTTTCTCTGCCTTCCCTCGCTGCTCTCGCTTCTTCGGTTTCAGGTCATTAGATTCGTCATCGGAACGTCAAGTCTGTGGGGGAGGGAAAGTGGGGAGTGAATGAGGGTCAGAGATTTTGGGTCCGTAAGCCGCCGTAAGCCGCTATTAATAAATAATGAATATTGATTTCGCTGGTGTGATTTTCACTTAGAAGCTATTAGACTGGCCTGCGATTTTTAGTGCAAACAGGGAAAGTTCTGTCGGTGGATATTGATATTTTCCGATGAGGTGGAAAAGCGTGTGAGCGGAAATTAAAATTGACTGGGCTGAACAAACTTTGAGCAGGTGTAACCTGTCCAGGATGACCTTCGTTTGGCTACTAAAGCCCACGACGAGCAAGATATTTATGTATACAGGATTTTCATCATTTCATTTTCATCGCTACCCAACGCGCATTACGTATATTATGTGGCATAAAATCGATCATAAATGGATTTCTTCTCAAAACTTGTTTTTTGATACAAAAAGCCCAGCAAGAATTATGATCTAATTTAATTTGTGTTATAGGTATAATTTGCATTTCCTTTGGAGTTAAAACATATTTTTAATGTTTTCATTTCTTTGGTTTCTATACGTTTTCATAAGCTTTCATCAATGAATGGTTCCATTTTTGGTTTGCTACCAAAGCAAATCGAATTTATTTTCTGTATTAGATTTTAAATTTTAGATTAAATTTGACTATACTGAACCCTAGCGCTATCAAAATGAACTACTATTTATTTGTTGTACATATAGCTCCATTACGTAGTAGTGGCATATTGATATATGTCTGTACCATGCTGGCTTTTTAATTTCATTTCACCCGGCTGTTTAAATTCTGATTTAAAAATTGCTACACCTGCAAAAAAAACAAAAAAGTAAACACACGCGCACTCCGGGCAATTAAAAACTGTTCAACAAGGGATTTTTGTGCATTGATTTTTCGCATCTCGGAGAGAGAATTTCGGGAATGTGGAACTGGTAGGATATGAGTGGGACCGAGGAAGAGAAGGAACAGGAGCAGGACGACGAGGAGGGAAGAAAACAACAGCGACAGAGGAGAGTGTGGGAGCACACTATTCGCACTCTGCCTTATCTTCATTCATATTTTCTATACACTTTGGGGTCCCGCTGAGAGGGGTTTGAGTTGAGTTCGAGTCAGGCGCATTCACACGCCATTCTCGCCCACCTCCCCCTACACATACAAATACACGTAAACTCTTTGTATGACTGACTATATATAAACACGTTTTTTTTGCTTTTGGCTAAACAAAAAACTTTTTGCAACTGCAATTGGGTTGAGCTAAAAATTCGTTTTTGAACGGATGCGGACTGCGATAATAATAAAAGTTTGCAATATTTAAGTCTCTAATACAGGAAAAATGTATTTCCGGTATCATCGATGACTGTCTATGGATTCAGTTACCGTTAAAGCCACCCACACACACACAAACACAGGCTACTTTGTCTAGCTGTAAAATTTACTGCTGTCGGCTGTCTTCTTCTTCTACTCTTTTTTCCTTTCTGAATGAAGTTTCTGCAGGGAGTCTGGCATCGATTTTTTCATATGCAGACACATACACCCACACTCTAATACTAATCAGAAAACGAACCGACTTTTTCGTCTGCCTAATAATTACAGTTAGACGGACTCTGCTTTTTGGCAAAGCAAAAGGTCAAATCAAGAGTCTTCCAATTGGAAATGCTGCTAAAAATAGATTAATGCGAAGCGGGGGCGCAAAGAGAGAAAAAGACAGAGACGGCGAGAGATCAGGGGTAGTAATTGTACTGACAGACGCCGCGGCGACATTAAAAGCAACGGTACAGCGGTTTGGGACGATGACAGAAACAGACGCGGGCCAATTTCCGAGAACATTCGCATTTTGCAATTAGCTTATGACTTCAGCAAAGCACAACAGCAACAACACACGAACCTACTTTTTTCCGATTTTGTCCTACAACACCAATTCGACCAGGCGAACGCACCGACCGTTTTGTTTATGGCAAGCAACGTTCGCAAATCTAGCGATGTCAGAAATGTATCAAAATATTGTATCGATATCGATGTATACCCCACCTACGCAGGCTCAATCTGTGGGAAACACAAACACTTGTTTTGATTTTTTTTATTTTTACAATTATTATTATTATAATGGCAAGCGAGAAGAGCGTCTCTCTCTATCAATTTTAATTTAAAATGTTCCACATTCTTTTCAAATATTTTCCACTTATTATTTTCTAATTCAGTTTGATCAAATAAAAGTAGCAAGAATAAATTTACAAAAAATAGAATTACCTAGACCCCTAACTTTGAATTTTCAGTACATTTTGAAACGCATGCCAACATTTTGTATACTAAAAGTACAAATAAAATATAAAAATTAAAATTTGGGAGTCCCAAACATTTTTGTAACATAATCGGATATCGATGTTTCATTTTCTTTGTTTACATTAAAAGCCGTGATTTTTTATTGCGGTCTCGAACCAATTCAGGTGTAATAATAATGGTTTGAAACTAGAATACCAAAATCGGGTAAATTACCAAAATAATGATCTGAAATATATGTTCGCAATCTAAGCAAATGAAACTGCAAGAAATCAATACAAATACATTAATCGCCAAATTCCAGTTCTCTTCGCGTTAATTATTTTGTAAATTAAATTAAAACAAAATTACATCAAATTTTTCCAAATATCCCTAACCTAATTTAAAGTAATTGGGAATTGATATTTGCCTAACTTTAACAATTAGTTGCTAATGAAACTAATTTACATGGTGGGCATCCATTGGTTGTAAAAAAAAATTCGAGTACTGCCTTGACCAACTTGTAAAACGCAAGAGTTCCCATTCCTAAAAAATCTATTTTCGTTCCGACCACATGCAGCGCGTTTGTCGTTCGTTTTATATAAACTTAAACATTTAATCATTTACTTGATTTATTATGTTGTGTTTTACTGTTATACAATTAATAATCATCAAAATTTCTTTAATGTTTGTGTTTTTATTTGATTAAAACACTGCCGGCGGCCGCAGGCGTTGTTTCAGGTTGCCTTGCTGAATTAAGTTGTCGTTTTCGGTCGCTCTACTTTGTTCTATGTTCCTCCCGCTCAGCCAGCTGCACATGGATGTTGTTGTGTGGGGGATTGGGTGGTGAGTTCTTTACAACTTGTCCAAGTACTGGGACAGATCGGGCAGACCTTCCTTGAGACCCTTGCGTTTGCGCGTATCCTGGACGATGGCGTAAGGCTTGCTGGAGGGCTCGCTCGGGTCACCGGGCAGCACCTGCCAATGGTCGAACACGCACTGGGGGAAGGCTTGACCACCGGTGTTCGAGCGCAGGTCGGCGGTGAAACCGAACGACTCGTTGACAGGTAGGTATGCCTTTACCACGAACATGGGAGTGCCCACAACCTGGTTCTCCTCGAACACGTGACCACGACGCCTATTCAGCACACCGTAGATACCTCCCACAGCTACCTCAGGACACTGGATCTCGCACAGGTAGACGGGCTCCATCAGGCGAGGCTTGGCTGTGATAGCGGCGGCATAGAGGCAACGACGAGTGGTTGGAATGATCTGGCCACCACCACGATGGATGGCATCAGCGTGTAGCGTCACATCGTAGATGTTGAAGCGGACACCGCGCAAGTTCTCGTCGGCAAGGATACCCTCCTTGGAGGCCCACTGGAAACCGGCGACCACGGAGTCCTTGATTTCATTGAGGTACTGCACGGACTTGGTGCAGTCAAGGATGAAGTTGGGTCCAGTTCCGTCGGGGCCGAAGCACCAGATCTTACGGGCTTCAGTCACATCATAGTCGTACTTCTCAGACAGATAACGGGCACGAGCCTTGAACTCATCCTTAGAGCTTACTTCGCCGTTGTCAATGTCCTCAGGCAGACCGTCGGGCATAGGAAGGGCCTTCATCAGCAGACGGTTGTGCTTGTTAGGCGACTTGGACAGACACATCTGGTCGGACTCCTCCGACACGGTCTCACGGTAGGACACCACGGGATCGGACTTCTTCAGGGGGATGCAAGCGTGGTCCTCCTCCAGATCCTTCAAACAGATCTCCAAATGCAGCTCACCGGCACCGGCAATGATGTGCTCGCCTGACTCTTCGATGATACATTGCACCATAGGATCGGATTTGGCCAGACGCTTCAGACCCTCCACCAGCTTGGGCAGATCAGCAGGGTTCTTAGGCTCCACAGCCACACGCACCACAGGGGACACGGAGAACTTCATGACCTGCAATTAAGTGAAGAAATAAGAAAAAAATTAGTAATGTTCAATTGTTTTAAAGCAATTGATTTCAATACCTTCATGTTATGGGCATCCTTGAAGGTGGTGATGGTACCGGTCTTGACCAGGAACTGATCGACACCGACCAGACCGCAAATATTGCCAGAGGGCACATCTTCGATGGCCTCGACGTAACGACCCATCATTAGGATGGTACGCTGGATGGCCTTCTCGTACAGATCCTCCTTTTTGCCGGGGGTGTAGTTGGGGCCCATGATGCGACACTTCTGGCCGGTGGCCACCTTACCAGCAAACACACGTCCGAAAGCGTAGAAGCGACCCTTGTCAGAGGTCGGCACCATCTTGGAAATGTACATCATAAGAGGACCATCGGGATCGCAAGACTTCACGGCAACGGCGGCCTCATCGTCATGGGGACCCTCGTACAGCATCTCCATACGGTACTTCTGGGCAACAACCGGCGACGGCAAATGGATGGCAATCATCTGAAGCAGAGCCTCACCGGCTGGCAGCCAGGTGCGCATCACGGTCTTCAACAGCGCCTTGCCATCTTTGTCCTTGTCCTCGTGCTTCAGGGTCACACCGATCTTCTCGAGCAGGGTACCGATTTCCTCCTTCTTGTAGTTCATGATGGCATCGAACACCTTGTAGATGGGATCCAGGATGTACATGCAGAACGAACGCTTGTTGTCGGCCTCCTTCTGCTTCTGCCATTTCTTGGTCTTGGCATTGAAGAAGTTCTCACCCCACAGACTGTGAACGAGATCGAAAAAGGCATTTAAAGTTAGTTTGATATATGTAGCTTTAAAAAAAAGCCTATCTTAACCTTTAAAGGAACTTGAATATTTCTTATCGCTTTTTGGTTTAATCGGAACTTATTTATGTATTTAATCTATTTGTCATTCTTATTTTCCGTTACGGTCAACAAGTTATAGTTTATATAATTCCTAAAACCATTTGGTCTATCCTATTGAATAGTGTAAGGTCTCTGCCTTAGCATGACTCGTTAAGACATTAGGAAAGAGGTCACGAGGCAGCGTTTCAACAGCTTCCTACGGTTTTGGTCTGCTTCTATTTTTATGGCACTTGTGGCGCCGTCATAACGCGCGACTCTAAAGAAGACTACTCCTTAGGGAGCGGACCTCCAAGATGCCGTCCGCTCAGCGTCACACGTATTGTGCTAGAAGCGTGCATTTGCAGAACTATTTTTTGTAAATATCACTTACCGGTTCATTAGCTTAACCACATCGATCTTAAACTTCTCAGAGTACATCTCAGAGAACTGCTTAAGGGTGAAGGCCCAGCCGTGCAGACCGGAACCGAAGCCCACGGATCCCTTGGAGGGGTCCACGCGCACCTCACCCATTGGGCCACCGTCATCGTTGTAGGTGGCGATGATGACGTTTACGTTCTCCACGATACGTTGGAAGGTCTGGTAGAGCTCCTCGGCATCAAGCTGCAGCTCGAGCAGGGCGCGGTCCATCTTGTTCATGAACAGGATGGGCTTAATGCGCTCGGCAATAGCCTGACGCAGCACGGTCTCGGTCTGCACGCACACTCCGGAGACGCAATCGACCACGACGAGGGCACCGTCTGTCACACGCAGAGCGGCTGTCACCTCGGAGGAGAAATCAACGTGACCAGGCGAGTCGATCAAGTTAATCAGGAAACCCTTGCACTCCTTCTCGCGCTGATCGGCATGGGTGATGAACACCAAATCCTTCTCCTCCACCTCGAAGTACATGGAGATGGCACTGCAAGAGGAATTGACAAATGATTAGTGAGGGGTCAAGAGGTTAGAACGGGGCGTGGCTTATCTTACGTCGACTTGATGGTGATGCAGCGCTCCTGCTCATCCTTACGGGTGTCAGTGAAACGGGTCTCACCAGCCTTGGCTCCGGCAATGATACCAGCCTTGGACACGAGCGAATCGGTCAGGGTGGACTTGCCGTGGTCTACGTGAGCAATCACAGACATGTTACGGATGTTCCGCTTCTTGTCCATGAGGCCACGGATTTCGTCGACGGTGAAGTTGACCTGCGAAAATAGGGCATTGTTATGTATTAGAACAAGTTCCCACTACTAGTATATATATATATATATATATATCTGTGTGCTTATTAAAAATGGCGTCCACACACACAATCTTCGTGCCACGGACTTTGAGGTTAGATAAGAACAGAGAAACCACTTGCGTCGCCTATTTACAGAAAATCACATCACTCACTCACACACTCGCACTGCAGCATCAAGGTATATAATTAGATGTTGCTATCTGTTGCGGCATTTCACAACTTTCACCCAGCATCTTCACATTCTTGCGAAATTTCAATAGCAAACTGCATACGTCATTCCTAGTCTTCGCCTTGCATTTCACCACCAGGCGAACACACACATACATGGGTGCACCATATATATGGGAATATATGTGCACACATTAATTTCACCAGGTAACGGTTGTCACGTCTTCACTTTTTGGCCCCACTTTCACGAACCGCACATTTTAAATAGCCGCACAGAACGTTTTGGTGGGATTCCTGAAACCACGATTTGCATTATTTCAGTATTTAGGCACCTACCATTTTGGATGTTTGGAGATTTTCTCGCGGACCAAAAAAACACTACGCCTTGCAACGGCGTTTCGACAGGAAAGAGCGAGGCACTGCGGCGACCCTAGAGCTGGGACAATTCTCGATAGTATCGATAGAACGAGCCAGTTATGAACTTAGTGTAGTCGATAGTAGTTCCAGAAGAAGAACCATCTATCCGATGGTTTGCCACTGTCGTTTTCCTATTTAGTTTTAGCTCTATTTAAATATTCGTTTGTTTCATATTTTTAATATACAAATGTACATCATATATCGATCGATAATAAGTGGCAAAAATGTCAGAGTTGTAACTTTTCTGAGCTAAATCAAGTTTAAAATATTTTTGAAATTCTGGAAACAGGTTGTTCGAATAAAATACCTTTTTATTGCGTATAGTTTAAATAATTGCATTAAGATTAAATAGATTAATATGGAAAAATGTGGAGCGTTACACATCCAGTGCTTCTTAATGCAGTTTTTTTTTTCCAAAAACGGACAAAAGACCAAAAAATGCGATGAAAAGCATTAGAACCATTATTGCAATTACGCTCTTGTAGAACTGGTCTTGTGGTATATGGCCTGATGAATGAATTTTCAGCACACCCATAAAAATGCACAGTTCTACAAATTAATTATTATATAATATATATATATTTAAATATAAATTATAATTAAAGCTTTTAATTTATTTGACACGCTTGGTTAGTACACTCCGTAGGACTCACTAGTCGGAGTCGACATAGCCATGCTACATTAAGCATTGCTGATTCTTAGGTCTCGTACTAGCCTATGTACGAAAGGGTATAGTTTACCATTATTTCGGGTTTTGAAATCAAACCAGCAAAGCATTTTTAAATGAAAACATTGTTGATGAAGTTGTCAATCATTTGATGTTGTAGGGCCTTACACGTGTTCTAAGGTTACCGCTATTAAAATTATTATATAGATCCCTTTAAAAAAATTTTGGCCTAATGTGCCACAAAGTCAAAATTTGTACAAGTATATGTAATTGTTGTACGACAAGTAAAATAAAACTTAAAATCTAACGTATATTTCTTTACTGTATTGATTACTCTATAATGTTCCTATCGGAAGGAGCGATCCGCTTAACGGTGTCGATTTTAGTTTAAGGTTATCATACTTTTATTGAATAAAACATGTGGTAAAAAACCGAATGAAATAGTATAGACAAAATAATAATATTGGTTTAATAATAACAATAAAAATTAATGGAACCAGAAAATATGAGGCGGTTACTATATCAATAAAATGTTTAGGGAGAAGAATTGTCAACTGTCTCGACTATGAGATAACCGTTACTCTGGTTTTCAAAAATAATAATTTTTCACTAGAAATTGACAACATATATAATTTTAATAGCATCACTTATTAATATAACCCTATAAGGTCGGTTTATCACTGCGCATGCAACCATATATTCTGAAATAATTTTCGGATTTTAAAGATTAGAATTAGATTAGATTAGATATTAGAAGTTGTTCTTTTAGATTCCCAATTTGATTTTGATCTTCTCTAATATGTAAAAATCTAATTAAGAAATGCTGTTAAATTATAAAAAACTTGATACATCGATGTTTCGCAACCACAAAATTCATTAAAAAAATGTTTGAGACTTTTGTTGAATGTCTTGCCACACTTGCAATGCAATGTTGAGCAACTCTTTCCCCTCAAGAGGGGAATTATTTACCCGTTTTCCAATTTCTCCTCCAACACCGAACTGTAACACGTTCCCCACCATCATGTTGCGGGAGCAATGTTGCAGGAATCTACATGATGCCAGTAAAATAAACCTTTTATTAAACTCTTTATAATCTTTATATGATAACGATATATATATAATTTCAACTATTTGTTTGTTTTTATTTCAAAGTTTTCAAAGCAATTAGATCTGCTTAATTTTGTAAAGTTTTAAAAGAGAGTTTTCACCACAGTTTTTTTGTTTTTCCAAAAACAGAGTACAATTGCGCTTATCAACATTGTTTTATTTCAATATAAAATTTTCAGCATTTTGCCACAATCATGCTGCCAAAGACCAGCGCAGCATGTTGCTCAGGGGAAAACGAAAGCTTGAGTGAAAAATGGATCAAACATGTCGCATGGAAGAACATGTTGCATGAAAGAGGTGAACTGCCAACAAAGCGACGGCAGCCGGCGAACGATGAGAACGCGGCCGAACAGTTTTCAAGTGATTTTCTTCGCGTACGGGTTGTGCTAACGGTAAAGGAAAAATAGGCTACTCTGAGCTTTTCCCAAAGAACCAATACCAGTGCACATGTGCTCGGTGTGTTGTTGTAGTGCGAATGCAACAAATAACAACAAGGATATATTTTAATTTCCCATGAAAATAGGAAAATAGTATTTTATTTGAAAACAATTTCCAAGTAGAAGTTTTGTTAGGCAGTGATACAATTTGAACTCTTTTCTGTGCTAATTACGTAAAAAACAATGTAACCACTTACACTATTAAAAAGTAAATATTTCCGTTTAAAATTAATAATATGTTTTAAAGCCACTGTGATTAGAGCATTCCAAAATATTTCTAAACCCTTTTAAAAAAAATTATTTTCAAATAAATGAAGAAGGTGAACTCCAAGATAATATTAAATTTCCAATTTAGCAAAATAAATTTTATGAAATCTGGGTTATTCTAAATATATTTTATTTTTTAATGGAACTTGTGTTAGTGTAAATAAACTATTAACTGACATCCGAAGCACAAATATCAATTTATAGGTAGGAAAAAAACAATCCCACATGAATTTCTTCATTGAAGGTATTTTCCCATAAAAAATAATTGCTTTAAATGACAAACATAAAAATATTTTTTTTAATTTTACAAAAGAATGGAAAAACTCTACAATTGGTGGCTCAGCAGCGGCGCTATTAAAAATAAAGCCCAAAACTTTTAACTACTTTCCTTTGATACGCAAATCCCAGGGCAGAGACAATAAAGAAAAACAAATAATTATAATAAATCCAACACATTGAAAGCGAGGCTAAAGGCCAACATTTCCTGCGAAGGATAACTTTGCCGCGTCTCGCTTTTCTTAATAGAAAATCCTTTTCGCCCAGCTTTCTGACCAGCTCAAAAAAGTACAGAATTTGGCACGTCTTTGAGGTTTCTGAGTTTTTTTGCTGCTGCCAGGCTGGCTGCAAACAAAGTAAAAGTTACAGCGAAAGTTATTGTGCAACGTGTGGCAAGTGCGGCAAACAAAAAAGCGAATGCAGCGGCAAGTTTAATTCGATTTTAGTGTGCAACAATCAGTGAGAAAAAACAGAAAGGAAGAAGTCTTACCTGTCTGCGTGCAGGTGCCACTTGTGTGTGAGATCCGTGTGGAAACAGCAGGAGAATTGTAAAGTGGATTAGCAGACGGCTCCCTCTCTTCCACACTGCTCTTGGATTTTCCCTTGGATGAGCGTGTCAAATCTTTTAACTTCTGCTTGCCGTAAGTCCGACAATTCTACATGTCTAAGTAAAAAAGCCCTCGAATTCACATTACCCTACTTTTGCTTTATTCTGCGTTTAAGAGCTGTGCCTACTCGCAGTGCCAAATAATTTTATTTTAATTAAACTCTTTTCTCGGAAGCTCTTGGCTTGCGGAAAACTTTTGGAGAAGTCTGTGGGAAAACAAGAAATGTCTGAGAACCCCTAAATGCTATTTTGAAATTCAATTTATTTTTATTTACTCAAAATGTTAATTTCTTCTTAATAAAACAAACAGTTCTGGAGTCTAGTTAAAAATGTAGATCAGTCACACCACCCATTAGTTATATTATTCCTATATAAGCGTCTCCCCTAACACTTTGCTATGAAATCCATTTGGAAATTTTGATATCAACATAAGCTTTGACAATAAAAAACCTTAATGGTTTACCTTCGGGAAATGCATCAATTTAATGTTAAGAGCTTCTACGGATTGAAATTCTGAAGGGAAAGCAATCAGCTTGGCCCCAATAAAGTTGTCACAAATATAAAGATGCTCAGGTCCCAATCTAAAACATCGTAAAGTGCTCACACACACGGGGCCTAATAAGCCTGCTAATCTGAAGTCCACACACACGCGGCAAACAGTAAGAGTGCTACAAATACCGTGAGTTCTTTCATAAGCTACGAATACCTAAAATGTTCCAGACAGACTCACACAATGGGAATTACGCCGGAGATGTCGTCGTACTTTTTAAGTAAATTATAAAGCATTCAAAAATGGTTTTTGTTGAATGAGTGTTGGAAAAAAAGCAAGTATGAAATGAAATAAAGCGGCAAAAGTATGCAAAAAGTCAACGACAGTTGAAAGAGTCGGCCAGACAGACTGGAGAGGTTCTGCGGGGGCAGTTGAGAGGAAACCCAAGGTACGAAAGGAGATTCAGACAATGTGGGGAATGTCGGGAGCGTGTCTGCCTTCGAGTCCTGCCTGCTCACACACACAGATGACTCTCTTGCCACTTTGCCTACTGTCCTTTCATGGTCCAAGTCTCCTCCTTTCTAACTTCTTTCTCAGAACTAAAGTCAGCATCAACATATCTACATCTGAAGGTAGAACGAGCTCAGATGAGCAAGTTCATGCTTTTTGATAGCTTTAAGAACTAAGGGACTACAAAATACATAATGGAATAATTAACAATTAAACTGTATCTTCAAATACATTTAAGATTTAAATAGGTTAAAGGCAAATTATACTTTATTCTGTAAGTATATAGATATGAACTTGTATAATTTCCATATTTAAGCCCGTTTCGTTGCTTAACTTACTTAGCTTAACACACCCCATAAACCCTTAGGCTACAACACCCTAAGCCCCAGCCGCAATCCAATTATCGTCTAATAAAGTACTTCCTCAATCTCCCCAATTTAGAAGCCGTATCTTGCGACTTTAGTCTAAAGCTTTAGGTGCGCTTTGCACAGATTTCGATTTTGCTTAAAATACATATTATTAACAGTCCCAGTTTAGGCGAGCGTTTAAAGGAGAAAAGGCTGGAGAATTAATGCAACTGCTTAACTTTCGCACCTCGGAAAGGCACTAAATTATGAAACTGCATCCAGTTCTCCTTCCTCAGCCCAATCCCCGCGAAGCTGAGCACTTGAAATCTGCCACAAAACCAGAGAACAGACGCGTAGACCGCCAGACATGCGAACCTTTCTCGAGTGTCTCACGGTCCCGGCTAAAAACGTCTACGGTGAAGTTTTTTGCAAGTTGTTTGGGTAGCCAAGTCTCAGGGGTTTGCTGTCCCGGCACCTGGCCACGGCAACCCCAATCCATGACACATATTCAGGGAAATTCAAATAAAAAGTGGTAACACTAAGACGAAATAAGACTCAACTCTGCTCCTTGACGGCTCCAATGCACTCTTCTTCCGATTCTCCGATCTAGAAATAAATCTTTCAATGGCTCTTCCATGTTTTCGCGTTTCGTGTGCGCCGCTCATGCTCGTCTGCTGCCTTGATTTATACATGAAAATAATTTATTAGTTGGAAAATTCTTTTCTTTTCCTTTAAATGGTTTGCTGTGGCTGTGGCTAGACCAGTTTTAAGTGCTCGTAGATTCCTCAATGGGTTTCCACTGGCTTCACTGAAGTTCGGGATGTGGAGTTGGTTAAATATTTTCCGTCTTAAATGTTAGTGGCCTCGATTTATAATTCTTTCCGAGGGGTTTGATTGAGTTCTGCCAGAGCGCATGAACAAAATGTTTTCCTATATTAGTAATGAAATTTATGAATTCATTTTTAAAAACTAAAGAATTTCGAATTCAATTTTCCAAATTCGTTTTTGCCTCATATCAGTGTTTCGTAAATTACAGATGACTTTTGAACACAGCATCGATATAGCATTTTTACTAATTATTTAGAATGATAATTACAATTTTTATAGTTTTTTCTTCACAATATAGGATAGAATGTACTTTATTATGATAAAAGGTTAGTTCAGATTTTAAATTACAATTAATTAGTGTCTTGCGTTTACCTTTTAATTTTTGGCCTATCGTTAATCCAATATTCCAATACTTAAATCGAATATTAATTTGTCCGTGTGGGGCAGCACGATTCTGTAGCGAATGTGCTTTCGAATGGTTTAAAAAAATTAAATAATGTGTCATTTTATTGCTTGAACACACTTTTTGTCATTAAAAGACAGCTTGTATTGACGAACCTTTCGACTTGGACTTAAAGGTTTCATTCAATCTGGCAGCTAGTTGCCTTAACTTTGCTCTGCTCTCCGATTTATTTTGAATTTAAGTTCATCGCAAAGCCACCGTCGATTTCCTTGGTGTATGCCAAATAAGTGAGGGAAATTCATTGAAATCGAACGCTCTTCAGTTTTGAATGGAACGATGTTGATGGTTATGGAGATGGTTACGATGGAGTGACGGTGAAAGGCAGGCGGGCAATGCTTCGAGTGAACCTCCTCCGCTCCATCCTCCATCGTCCTGTCCAATCGAACTGCCACTTTTGCCCCCTCCGTCAACTTGATGCCGTTTGACATGAGCGACGACTTCGACGGCACTGTCGGCACTATTTGAAACTTATTGCTCGCTCGCCTGTCATTGGAACATCGTCAAGTCGAGAAGGTGAACAGAGCGAAGGAAGCGGAATCGAGGGCGGAAAAGGGGAGTCGGGAACAGGGACACATGGAGAAGTGGAATAACAGGGCCCCCGGGACTGAAAACCTTCCAATTTCCAGTATTTTTCTATTCAGACGATTCGAAGTTCGATTCGACAAGTTTTCCATTGTGGCCATGTTCAGAATTTCCATTCCTTTTCAGCTTGCCAGCTTGCATGCGTCTTTACTCAGTTAGTTTTGGCCTTCGCAAGATAAGTAGATGCATCTGCACCTGTGCGTGGGCTCCAATCATGCGTTGCACTTCGATTGGCCGCACTCGCTTTTGCCTTCGCGCCTTCTGCTCTGGGCCGTTACTAATGACTAGCAAACACCACTGACACGCCCTCTTGCAATTGCCTAATTTGGAAAAAAACAGAAACCTAATCAAAGGGGTACCCGTGGAGTTATAGGAGTTAAGTTCACCGAGGGGAGATACGTTTGCTTTTTAACCTCCGAAAATAATAAAAACTAAACCATCATTTCGAGTTTCTATTATTGAACCCACGCTTAGTCCAACCCTGTTCTTAGACTCCCTCGAAATGCGTTACACGCTTAGTTTAGTGAGAATAATGACGAGGAAAATCAATCAGGAGGAGAAGTGCTGCATGCGGGTGGGTACCGTGTAACCGATTCAGTAACAAGCTGATTAGCCTGAAAGCTGACCAATTTGCTATTCTTCTTTTTACTGGAGGAATTTGTCCGATTTTGGTTCGTGTTGATGCTGTAACTGACTGACGGATTGATGGCTTGTTGATGGCCTGTTGGCTGATAATGATATATGGCTATTGAAATGTCAAAATTAATAAGCCTCGATGGTCGTTTAATGAGCCGCCGTCGCCTTCGCCTTCGCCGTCGCAGTCGCTATTGACTCGAAATCGATTTCGAGGGTTTTGCGTCATCAAATTAAGCCCCTCCGCGCAAACGGGTTTGTCTGTTTGGGTGGCCCCATCGGTTTCAGAGTTCGAAAGACGGATTTCTCTATGACGGATTTGATGACCTGTGAAAAAATTTGTCTTGACAGCGCTCTGAGAAAATTCAGCTGGATACAGATTGCTTTTTCATGTCTTAGAAACGACGAATGCCTTAAATTGGGGATAATTCTGCTCATTTGAAGCTACTTCTAGCGACTAATAATCCAATAGTGTTGCTGTGGTTTGACCCAAAGATTTATTTTGTTTGTTAGACAAAAATGTAAAATTTTGTTATTTGAAATACCTATCTCATGTATCTATCTCACTTCTCGGTTGTAGTGCAATTGATGTTCCCAAGCTGCTTCCTTTGCTGCCTCTTCCGTAGTTTTTTGAAGTATTCCGCTTCGCGGAGATCCTCCTGATCCCTGTTGCTTAATGGCAGATCCGTGGGATAGTGAACACTACATGAGGATTTGGTCGGCCGCTGATCGTAGGTACCAGGGTCGCGAACTTCCCCGAAAAATCTTCTTAGGAACCCTCTCTTTTTCGGGGTCGAAAATACGGAGGATATCTGACTGACCTCATCGTTGTTAATAGACTTTGGTGGCTTAGCCTTGGTTTTTCTATGAGAGCGGGAGCGCATGAATTGAGCCAGCCTTCGAAATAAACTGCTAGCACCACTTCCCAGGCTGGAGTCCAGCTCAGCCTCCGTGTTTTTCCTTTCCTGTGTTGGTTTTCCTTTGTGCACCTTCAGGTGCATCTGTCTTCTGTCCAATTCTTCAGATTCTGGTGATAGAATTCTCGCAGCAATGCGCCTGTACTTCATCATTTCCTCTTCTTCTGAGTCACGACTTCTAGCTCCACCTTCCCCGTCGAAGCTGGCGAGGCTGCCATTGCGATTCAGGCTTTCAGAGCCGGCTGAATATTCGTGCCGAAAGTTTGGACGTCCTCCGGCCATGGGCCGACCTTGCCAAGCGGTAGGTTGAGTCTGTTCCTTTGGGAAGGGACTTCGAGTCTTTGTTGCCGCCTTGCCTTCAGGTTTAGGTGCAGCTGTGGGCTAGAATCGAATTTAGTTGTAGCTTTTATCAAAAATATTACAAGTTAAATAAGTTAAAGCTTTGCCAACGGTTACCTGGACATGGGATCCATTCGGCTGTTGGTAAAACACTGGAGGTACGATCCGATGGAGGTTCGGATTGAGGGCCACAACTGGCGGGATAGTCACAGGTTGGGGCCTGTCATACCAACATTGATAGTTGAATTGAGGGTTCGGTTGTTGCTGGTTTTGATAGAGAAGCCAAGGGCGAGTGTTAAACACTGGTCCCATCTGCGTCTGTAACGGCGCGAAGTAGTATTGCTGCTGCAGGTGCTGCTGCCGTTGCTGTTGCTGGGTCATTGCAGGATACGCCTGTGGCAAGGACATCGGATGGTGTCTCTGTGGCGGCTGGTGTTTCTGCGGCAACTGCTGTTGTGGTGGGTATTGAGCCATCGCGTTTGGGGCGTACGTCTGCCGCAGGGACATGTCTTTCAGGGCGTAACGGAGCCAACTGGTCACGGCCTGACCCAAACTATCCTCCGACTGCGAAATAAATTACGATTTAAAAATATTTCTAAAACTAGAGATATACTGACGGATGAGCGTTACCAGAAAAAAACTTCATCTTTCAAACCGCAATTGATAATAGTAGAAGAAACTTTATTAAATCGTTTCTATACCTTAACAAATATTTATATTTCATTAATGAATCACTTGACACTTTAAATGATGTCAATAAGTTGATAGCTCTAAGACTTCCGGATCAATTAAGCTTAGTACTTTCTTTAAAATAATATAAATATATGTAAAGATGTGTTTAAAAGAAGCCTCGATGGTAACTACTTACGCGAAGGTTTTGAGTTCGAAAAAGATCGTCCTGTTCAGAGCTGAAACTGAAAAAAGACAAAAGTGAGTTTTCCGCTTTCTGTTTTTTGGTAGCACTGGTCCGGTTAGTGCATGGTAAAGGGCAGCTTTCCCTTCTGTCCATATCCAAGGGGCCGGTTTGGTTCAATAGGACTGTTCCAGCTAGTCAAGCCATTGACATACTGCTCAGCGGCCGGCACGGCTCCTCCTTTGACCGGTTGACCAGACATAGGAGTATTATTGGATTTTTTTTTGGTTTTTGAATTTAGAGCTACCGAACCAAATTTTGATTTTTAACTGACTCCCACAGATGATTTTTGATCGTTGTGTTTCGCCGCCTACTTTGATTGTTCAAAGTTTGTTTATAATGTTTGATGATTTTAATGCTTCTGATTTAGATTTTATCCAACGTTATCGGAAGTGTTAGCCTAAGCAGTATGCCCGTTATTATCCCTTTTCCAGTGCAGCTCCTCCACAAAGGCAAGTGATCCGCGCATAGAAGTGAATTCCACTTTGTTTTTCGGTTGGAAAGGGCTTTTCCCCGCTCTGTAAACAACCGCCGCATTGTATGTGAACTTCCCTCCGCCCTCATTGTCCGACTTTTGCTATGCCTTCTGTCTGCTGTCTGCTAATTAAAAGTTCAATGCGCATCATTTCCAACAAAGAACAGCAGTGCTAACAACGAGTATTGACAATGACAACGTCACAGAATGTGGAAAAGGTAAGGGGTAAGGGGTTATGGGTTAGTGGTTAGGGGCTAGAGGGGACGGGAACTGGATCACAGGGGAAATGAGCAGAGCCAATTTATTTTTCCAGGAATTTCACTGTTCCTTCATTTGCCTGATGCTTTGGCCTCCATTGTGAGCAAGGGCGTTTTTAATTTTTTAATTAATTGCACAATCAATATGCAAATTAAGGAAAATCTCAGGAAATGAAGGAAGAATGCCATCATTGGGCTCTTCCTGCTGACAGAGGTTTTAAATAAGAAAGAGTTTAACAATGGGAGAGTCGAGTAAAGAAAACTTTTTTTAAGGGGAAGTCCTTTTTTCATATTACTGAAATTCATTTTTTTTAAATACTAACCTGAAAATGATATAACCTGATTTAAGAATAAGCTGTGTCAGTCTTTATGATTACACTTTCTGTACCCCCTTTCATGTAATTAAGCTTTGCTTTGAAAAGATGTTTTCATATTTACATTCATATGCCACGATTTATTCATGAGTTCATAATCCTTGGCCAGCTCGTGTTGGCCATATATGTAATACTCCAACCAAGTAAACCTCAAATTAACTTCAACCCACTCCAACTGGCATCTGACAATCTAATTACATTACGCTCCGACCCTTAAATGTGTCCCTGCCCTTGCTAAAAATAAAGCAGAGGGCCAAGCCAAAACCTAATCTGAGGGACCGCACATTAAAGCCACATAAAATCACCTGCGTAAGTTTTTACACAACAGAGCCCACGTGCCGAAAAGCCCGAAGGAGACAGATTCCGAGCTGGGTAAAGGGTAGAGTCAGTTCCCTGCTTGAAATTATTTTAATTTATGACCTGCGCTTGTGGACTTGATGGAATATTTCTGATTTTTCCCCTACCCAATGACTTGGGTTGCTGTTGGCAACTATCATAACGAATCAATTTGGAGGGGTGCCTAATAGATGCAGTGCAAGGTGAAAAGAGGGAGTTCCGATCCCGGCTGTAATTGCCAGAGAATATCGAAATTTCCATCAGCTGCATAGTATATTAATTTCTACAGCGAGTCACAGTGCGGCTCCGACGGCTTGGAATATTTTCAGCAATTTGTTTGTGGACGAACTTAAAGTGCCCCCGGGGAGTATTTAAATTGATTTCGAACATTGATTCGAATATTTATAAGGCGACAATAAGTGGAACACGGGCGACTGGAAAAATTGGGACAGAACAACAGTTCTGGGTACGATTTTATCATATTCATTGGTCAGTGAAATGTTTAAAAATTATATATAGTGGGACCACACTCTTACTATTAGAATAGGGAAAAAATGCCACTCAATAAATATCAAATGTGTACAACCTGACCACTTTATTTGTTCGACTTTAGATCCTATGTATCTGAATAAAGGGATATAGTACTGATAGTACCAGGAAACATAACCCATTTGTAGTCCGAAGCAAACAAAGTTTGCAAAATTTACCCTTTTCGAGTTGGAGGCTTAGCTCCCAGTTGGAAGCGAATCGTAAAATAAATAATGTCGTTTGTTCACAATTTGAAATGACAAATGTTAGAATGCCATAAACAAGTTTATTACACTCCTCTGTCCGCCGAGCCAGTCAGCTGAGCTATCTGCGAAGCATCTTCACTTCCTGGGACTTTGACAGGCTCCTCGGAACTCCCGGTCGTATATCATTGGGGCCCTGCCTCAGCATCCCTGTCAGCCATCAGCTGGCATTCTGCTTCATTAATTGTTTGGCGTTCTTGTATCGCGTAATATTTTACAATATTTTTACTTAATTACGTAAACGGGTTCTCGCAGCCCTCTCTTCCATTTTCAAGGGTGGTTTCCCAATTTTTAAGCACGAAAAATCTATAAATTTGTTATTTTATGGTTACAGTTAACTTAATGTTTTCCCACTTCATTTTCCTTGCAGCATAAAATCATGATTACGAGAAAATGCAGATAAAGATGTTGGCAAACATTCACTGGAAGTCTCAGCAAATTTGGGCAGCTTTGTTTGTGGTAAGAAAAATTCGTTTATTACTTGCAAAGGCTGGCCAGCAAGCCAGCATATTCCCTCTTAGAAATAATACCTCTAAAACACGTAATAAATATTAGAAACATATAATTATCGGGAATCAAAAAGTGCCAGCTACGTGCAATACCACTTTGTGGCAATTATAAAGTTGAACCCAGGCCTGACCCAAATCGCAGTAAACGCCTTGCACAGCGGGGGATTTTCATCAATTTTAAAGCAGACAACCTTTGGAAAATCTAATAAAGAATCAAATTACCCATCATTTTTCGGAAGCGTTGGGCATTAAACCCTTTTCTCGTGGTAAGGAACCCTTGACAGCAACACGTGCTGGTGTGTGATTGCGGATACTTCCGTTTCCATGGATCCTGGGGGGCAACCCATTTGTAATTCCAGTCGATGGTCAAGAGCAGAGTCATTGGCTCTCTGGTCTAAAGGATTACACGGCCTAAGTGGCGGGTGGAGGACTGAGATGGCTTAATCTTGACGGAGGCGTGTCCCTAACTTGTAACTTTGTGCCCATTACCATAATGTGTTCTATCTGAATAGTTCTCAACACACACAAGAAATAGGAAATCACTTACGAGGCTCGTGGCAAAGCCGCCCCAAAAATCCGAGAGTTCAACCACCCGCGTGCCCCGCCTTTCGATCCATGCTTTTTTTGCACCTCCACGACCTTTGGTGGCCTGCCCCATTCGCACTGCTCTTGGCATTTGGTTAGGGCTTTCGTGAAATTGCAAAATCAATCAATTCTATTACGTATACGTAATATTTATAAATATTTCATGTTCAGCTTTTGTTCGCATCTCGCCAGCGCTATTCTGTTTTTATATAAATGGAAATTGTTTATATACCCCTGTCTTCCCCCCTGGTGTGTGTATTTGAATTTGTTGCCATGCGGGCTGAAACTTGCGGTCCTGAGGGTTCAAGAGGGTTGTGATATGTAAACAATGCTCAGGTAGTGGGTATTGGCCACACAGAAAAGGCAGCTTCTGTTTTGGCAAATAAAGAGGTTAGTGTCCATTTATTATGGATGAAGGTTTGACAAGGGAAAGGAAATCAATTAAGTTTAACATTGTTAATATTTTCTACCTCGAATAAATTATCTTCTCATCTAATTTAAGGATTTGAGTTGAAAATGTTCGGAGTAGATTTAAGTAAAACTCGCTCAAGCCTTACATAAAAAGATTTCATTTTGAGCCGGATTATTGCTTGTTTATTTATCCCATTAGCTCATTGAACTAATATGCAAATCACTCATTTTGATTTCAATTGGGTTTAAGTTTAGGCCAATTGCTAGTTGATAAGCTATGCAATTGCCATGTTTAAAACTCATGAAACTTTTGTGAAAATTTGAATGAATTATATTCAATTTGAAGTTAAACTAAATAATGGTGGCCAATCCCTGTAATCCTCGTTGTCGTATACATTTGCACGAAATCACATATTCGCGCAGAATAATTCATTTTCGTTGTAATAGAAAAGCGCTTTTAGTGGCTTTCGTTTGATCTCTCCACATTGGCTTTGGACTTTTCCGCATTTTCCCCCGGTACTGGACTGTTTGTTAAATATGTAGCCAATGTTGTATCTCAAACCATGCTCATTGTCAGGAATATGTTTTCGAAAATCGTTTTTGTTGGACGCTTTCCTCTTTATTGGTTTAAATTCATAATTTCACTGCTTTAAAACGTCTGTTTGTTTGTTTGCTGAATGTTCATTCTGAATGCTTTTTTTTCCCTTTCTTGTTTACATATTCATATTACGAGTATGTGAACTAGTACTTTGGCGAAAATATAATTCGCACACTTTAAAGTTTAATGCAGAAGG